GATAACTTGGTTCTAATCCCAACTCTGACAGACTCTCAGAATGGTTTTATACAAGTAATACAACTGCTGTATCTCTCTTTCCCCATCTGTAAAAGCCTACCACTCACTATACCTCCCAGACGTGGGTGTTGTGGGACTTAATCAGTCAACCTCTAGAGAAGCAGTTTGATATTGTTGGATGGAAGATGCTATGTAAAAAAATATTTATTTGTATTGTAGAAGTGCCTAGGAGCCCTGATTATGGACCCCAGTGTGCTAGGCACAGTATAAATACACAATAAAAAGATTAAAGGATTAGAAAACATGCCTTAAAGTAACAGACTCCAGTAGCTCAGTCTATTTAGCTTAACAAAGAGAAGGTTAAGGGGTTATTTGATTGCAATCTGTATGTACCTACATCTTTGGGGAACAAATATTTAACAATGGGCTCTTCAGTCTAGCAGAGAAAGGTATAACACCATTCAGGGGCTGGAAATTGAAACTAGATAAATTCAGACCGGAAATAAGGCATACATTTTAAAGGTGAGAGTAATTAATCAATAAGGCTACATTTTAGTCATGGGTATTTTTAGTAAAAGTCACGGACAGGTCACGGCAGTAAACAAAAATTCACAGCCCGTGACCTGTCCATAACTTTTAGTATATACCCCTGACTAAAATTTGGTAGCAGGGTAGCTGGGGGTGGGGGTGGCCTGTGGGTGCTGCAGGGGAGGGTTAGCGGGGCTGGGGCAAGCTCCCTACCCAGCTCCTGAGCTCCAGGTGCTGCCTCCACTCCGCCCCAAGCCCTGGTTCTGCAGCTCCCATTGGCTGTGAACCACGGCCAATGGTAGCGGGGGGGGAGGGGGTGGTGGTGGTGCCTGCCAGCAGAGGCAGCACGCGGAGCTAGGAGCTGAGGGAGGGGAGTTCCTGAGGCCCTTCTGGGATCCCAGGTAATTCCAGGTAAGCACTGCCCCACACCCCAATCCCCAGACCTGAGCGCCCCCCACCCACCCAAACTCCTGCTGCTGGGGGACGGGGGGAGGGTGAGACTCCCCCAGCAGCAGGTGGTGCGACTGGCCCAGGGGCCCCAGGCCAGGAACACCAGCCGCTGCAGAAGTCAAGGAAGTCACAGAATCTGTGACTTCTGTGACCTCTGTGACAAACACGGAGCCTTATTAATCATAGAACAACTTACCAAGGGTTATGGTGGATTCTACATCACTGACAATTTTTAAATTAAGATTGGATGTTTTTTTAAAAGACTTCTTCTAGGAGTTATTTGGGGAAGTTCTATGGCCTGTGTTATACAGGAGATCAGACTGGATGAAAACAATAGTTCCTTCTGGCCTTGGAATCTATGAGAAAGATGATCCCTGTCCCAAAAGTAATGTGTCTGAGGCAGAGCAGCTGCTCAAAAACCACACCCAAGAACCAGAAACAAGAAATTGCTCACCTAAACTTTATTGAAAATGGACTGAAATAAATATTCTGTGACACAGGACTGAAAAGGTGATATATATATAATACAAAGAGGTGTTCAAAAATTGCTTTAACTTAGATATACTGGGACTGTCAAGACTGCCCTTCGCTGGCTTTGCTGTGGAGTCTCCTGGGTGTCTTGGAGGTTATGCACTGTGAGCTCTCAAACTGTAATGGAATGGCCAGCTGAATTTTAACAAAGGTGTCTTTTCTCTGAATTGTTAATTCATCATAGAAGATACGGGTCTGAACAAAACCAGAGTTTTAAATGGCCACATTAAAAATCCTTTACTCTTAGTTTTCACACTTCTGTGGTGTTATTTCACTAGTTGGCCTGTGATTATAGGCTTTCCACCACAGACAAGACTTAATTCCCAACATTTAAAAAAAAAAAAAAAAAAAAAGCAGAAAAATGAATCTTTAAAAAGCAAAGTTTCAGGTTCCCTTTATACATCATAAAAAATGAGACAAGCCCCATTTTTGTTTTTCCTTTTATGTAATGGCAAGCACTGGCTTTTGACCTCTTGCTACACTGATCATATTGGTTTTGTGATCTTACAGAAAGCCTCATTAATTTCTATCTACAGTTAAAGGTATTTTCTAGCACCTTCTGAATTAATGATGAGCATTTCCTTGTACAGTCAGAGCCTTTCAACAAGGAGCCATCCCTCTTCTTAGGGTTTTCTCTGGGTCTGATTTAATTCCTCCCTTCTTAAGAAACGTGTGTCCCTCAAATCTTGCATGGTATTTCCAGTCTCACAAGCCCTTTTGTCTCAGTGCTAAAGGCTCTCACTCTAAAATGAGCCCCAAGCCACAAAGGTTTGTAGCAGTTTTCACACTGAAACATTATGGAAGAGGTTCAGATCTGGGATTTTGGACTCTATTGTAAGCCTCCTATTGTTAAATCCTCTCTGCTGCTGCTCTGTCCTAAACTTTAAGATACTCTGAACAATTAAAAACAAAAGCACCAACAAGCGTCACCTATTTCTCATTAACCACTCTGAGATATTTTTTCCCCACTCAAAATTTCCTGGCTTTTTTTCATGCTTGCTTCAAAAGTCCCTTCACTATTTCCATTTGGTTTTACCCCACACTTCTATTGCCATAACTGTTTAATGGAATCGTTAAACTATGGAATGTTTAAAAACAACAAGGAGTCTGGTGGCACCTTAAAGACTAACAGATTTATTTGGGCATAAGCTTTCATGAGTAAAAACCTCACTTCTTCGGATGCATAGAGTGAAAGTTACAGATGCAGGCATTATATACTGACACATGGAGAGCAGGGAGTTACTTCGCAAGTGGAGAACCAGCATTGACAGGGCCAATTCAATCAGGGTGGATGTAGTCCACTCCCAATAACAGATGAGGAGGTGTCAATTCCAGGAGAGGAAAAGCTGCTTCTGTAATGAGCCAGCCACTCCCAGTCCCTATTCAAGCCCAGATTAATGGTGTTGAATTTGCAAATGAATTTTAGTTCTGCTGTTTCTCTTTGAAGTCTGTTTCTGAAGTTTTTTTGTTCAATGATAGTGACTTTTAAATCTGTAATAGAATGACCAGGGAGATTGAAGTGTTCACTTACTGGCTTATGTATGTTACCATTCCTGATGTCCGATTTGTGTCCATTTATTCTTTTGCAGAGGGACTGTCCGGTTTGGCCAATGTACATGGCAGAGGGGCATTGCTGGCACATGATGGCATATATAACATTAGTGGATGTGCAGGTGAATGAGCCCTTGATGGTGTGGCTGATGTGGTTGGGTCCTCTGATGGTGTCGCCAGAGTAGATATGGGGACAGAGTAGGCAACGAGGTTTGCTACAGGGATTGGTTCCTGGGTTGGTGTTTCTGTGGTGTGGTGTGTAGTTGCTGGTGAGTATTTGCTTCAGGTTGGGGGGTTGTCTGTAAGCGAGGACTGGCCTGCCTCCCAAGGTCTGTGAGAGTGAGGGATCATTTTCCAGGATAGGTTGTAGATCGTGGATAATGCGCTGGAGAGGTTTTAGCTGGGGGCTGTATGTGATGGCCAGTGGTGTTCTGTTATTGTCGTTGTTGGGCCTGTCCTGTAGTAGGTGATTTCTGGGTACCCGTCTTGCTCTGTCAATCTGTTTCCTCACTTCCCCAGGTGGGTATTGTAGTTTTACGAATGCTTGATAAAGATCTTGTAGGTGTTTGTCTCTGTCTGAGGGGTTGGAGCAAATTCGGTTGTATCTTAGGGCTTGGCTGTAGACAATGGATCGTGTGATGTGTCTTGGGTGGAAGCTGGAGGCATGTAGGTATGTATAGCGGTCAGTAGGTTTCCAGTATAGGGTGGTGTTTATGTGGCCATCACTTATTTGCACTGTAGTGTCCAGGAAGTGGATCTCTTGTGTGGACTGGTCCAGGCTGAGGTTGATGGTGAGGTGGAAATTGTTGAAGTCCACGTGGAATTCTTCAAGGGCCTCCTTTCCGTGGGTCCATATGATGAAGATGTCATCAATGTAGCGCAAGTAGAGGAGGGGTACTAGGGGACGAGAGCTGAGGAAGCGTTGTTCTAAGTCAGCCATAAAAATGTTGGCATACTGTGGGGCCATGCGGGTACCCATAGCAGTGCCACTGACTTGAAGGTATAAGTTGGCCCCAAATCTGAAGTGGTTGTGGGTGAGGACAAAGTCACAAAGCTCAGCCACCAGGCTTACTGTGGCCTCATCAGGGATACTGTTCCTGACAGCTTGTAGTCCATCCTCATGTGGAATATTGGGGTAAATTGCTTCTACATCCATGGTGGCCGGGATGGTGTTTTCAGGAAGAACACCAATGCATTGTAGTTTCCTCAGGAAGTCGGTGGTGTCTCGAAGATAGCTGGGAGTGCTGGTAGCGTACGGTCTGAGGAGAGAGTCCAAATAGCCAGATAATCCTGCTGTAAGAGTGCCAATGCCTGAGATGATGGGGCGTCCAGGGTTTATGGATCTTGGGTAGCAGATAGAATACCCCTGGTCGGGGTTCTGGGGGTGTGTCCATGTAGATTTGTTCCCGTACTGTAGCTGGGAATTTCTTGAGCAGATGGTGTAGTTTCTTTTGGTATTCCTCAGTGGGATCAGAGGATAGTGGCCTGTAGAATGTGGTCTTGGAGAGTTGCCTGGCAGCCTCCTGTTCATAATCCAACCTGTTCATTATGACTACAGCACCTCCTTTGTCAGCCCCTTTGATGATAATGTCAGAGTTGTTTCTGAGGCTGTGGATGGCATTGTGTTCTGTACGGCTGAGGTTATGGGACAAGTGATGTTGTTTGTCCACAATTTCACTCTCATTCCTTTTTCTCCTCGTTTATCAGTCTCACTTTTTATATCTTGTTCTCTCACAAACATCACTGAAACTGCAATTAAAACTAGAGGCTAACATTACGGGTTGTGCAAGTAGCAGCATGTTTTGTGAACTCAGTTTAAAGTACAACTTTTTGGACAGGTTGCTCATTGTTTTAAATCCAAGAATTCCTTTTTCGAAAGAGATCACTCCCTACAAAAATATTTAGTTTTTAGCCCCACCCTTCAAATGTCAATTATCTAGCTCCCAGTTCAGAGAACCATCTGCAGAAACTCCAGGAACACAGCAAGAGAAGAATTTTCAAACCCTTGTGAAGCAAGAACAATATTTTAACTACAGTGGCTTGTTAAATCTTGTTTTGTCTAACGTTCGTGGCAGTGGGACTACACAAGGCAGTAAGTGACTTCTGCATTATCTAATGTTTCAGCTTTGCCCTCGTGTTTAATCATCCACAAAAGCCATTTATTGCCTCGTATACATCTCCATCAGGATTGTTATCCCTTTAAACAAACTGCATGTAACATGTGGAATGTACATTATTGAATTAGTTCTTTTTCCTTTTGGAAATGTCGGAAGAGAAAGCTGAGCTCCTTGGGCAATTGGTATTTCTGTTTGCATTTCCCCGCCGTGTTTGTTGTGTTTGGCAGAACCTACAGTTTGAGGTTGTTTCACAGTTTCTCATGAAGAAATAAATGTCTCCTTAGAAAATGTTTGTGCATCAAAATCATTCCCAGAAGTTGCTTGTAGTCCAGATAGTGCAAAACCCATTTACTGTTTTTCGCCCCCTACAGTTTGACCAATAAACTCTGCATGCTGTCTGTACTAAATGCCTTTGCCTAGTGCAGTGGGACTTTAAAGCAGACTGACCTGTCCATTGTTCAGCAGTTATTTATGTCTGCCTGCCCAGCAGTGAAATGTACCTGACAAATGCTTGTGGATGTCTTCTCTTCAATATAGCAAATTTTGTCTTGAACTTGCAGATATTGGCTCTCTCTGTTATCATGCTGCTCTTTGAGGCAGGAGTGTCCTCATCCTCCTCAGGCTTGGAGAATCAGATCTTCCAATACATTGATCTTCATCAAAATGAATTTATTCAGGTAAGAGCTACTCATATTGTCAAATAGCTACAATGCAGAAGTGAAGTAATAAAGACCAACAATGTGTGTTCATGAGACCACTTCTTTTCTCTCTAAGAGGAAAATAGTGAGCAGGCTTCCACAAGGCCTCAGATGTAGTGGAAATGCCACATTTCACTATGCAGCAGGGCTAGGCAAGGGAAAGTCTATGGTGGCGACGCTGCACTCTTCTTGTGTTCCATGTAGCAGAGATCGTTGGTAGCTTTGCGCACAGTGTACCATGCAAGATGGGAATATGGATGGACTGTGGTCATCACCACTAGATCCATGCAGATTATGCAAATCCATACTGAGCCAAAACCTTGCATAAAGGGGAGAAGCAGGCTACGTATGCTGCTGCTTCCCTCACTTTGCCATGCAGACATGCCAGCTCTGCACCGATTACTGGATTGGGGATAGGCTCCGGATTCTTTTCCTCAGTCCTGTGATGTTTCTGTGCATTTTTGTGAGTGCAAAGCTTGTTCGTTTGGGCTGTGACCTCTTTGCCAGGATTTAGCCTTTCAAGGGATTCTTTAAAAAAAAAAAAAAAAAAGTGGGATCAGTTTGCTTTGGGAAAAAGGAAGAACAGAGGAATGGGTCAGACATGATTAGTTCATGTCAAATTATGAACACTTCATGTTGTTAGAATTACTCAATAGCACGTACTCATTGTAACAGTGGGCATGTCTGAAACTAGATGAGGATTGTCTAGACTGTAGACAATTCATGCAAAATACAATTACCCAGTTCAAAGTGAATTTAGATGGACAGCCTTAATACTACTCTGGTCTCTCTACATTCTCCTAGACAGGGATTTAGATCCCATGATGACAGTGAGCTGAGAATTACCTCAGATGGATAGAAGACCGAAAGATAGACCATCCCTCCCATGCAGAATCTCTCTAGAGCACCCTATCTTTAGGAATCCATTGGGGCTCATTTTGTTTGCTCTGAAACTATACCCCCCCCACCCCTGCAAGGTGTACTATACGTGTGAAAAGGGTGCTGCCTGAAGGACAAGTAGAAAGGTAATCAGAACTGTTGGGGTCCCCTGATGGAATCAAGAAGGTTGTTTCAATGAAGCTCTGTAAAAATGGATGAGGGAATCAGATTTTGATCACTCTGACTTTAGCAGCAGAGGTGACACTTTAACAAGAGAGAGAGTGATCCAGTGTCCTGACAATTCTTTGCCAGATAGAACAGGCAAAGAGGCTACAGCAACAGCATGGCCATGATAGAGCTGAAATTAAAACAGCTTCAAATCTGATGTGTTTTGAGTTCAAAGTGCAAACAACAGTGCAGATCTGGTTTTCAGTACCCCACTGGTTCATTTAATTATATTCCTGGCTTCCTTTGCAGACCCTTAAGGAATGGGTAGCAGTGGAGAGTGATTCTATTCAACCAGGGCTAAGACAAGAAGTAACACGAATGGTGGAATTAACAGCAGACAGGCTTCGAGCTTTGGGAGCCACTGTTGAGTTAGTGAAGTTGGGCTCCCACAAGGTACCTATTTATCATTGCCATGTTTTAAAATACTCTGATCTGTACTTTAACGGTGTGTTCTAATGTAACGTATGGATAATTCTCACTGGTAGGAAGGAGTGAGACACCCACTGTCACATGGATACAGAGGCATTCTCACTTCTAAGCATAGGATCAAAACATTAGCCCAGGAAGTAAGGTGGTTTCTTATATTTGGACCCAGCAGAGAAGGAGATACAGGCAGAGAAGAGCTCATTTAAGCACATCTCTAGCTGCCTTGGAAACCTTTATTGTTCTTGCAACAAAACTGAAACTAACTCAAAAGTGAGGCTTTACTCTGGGGAGAGGAGAGTGCTCAAACATTTAAAGGGACAGGACAACACATTCCTACACCCTACATTAAAAAAACTTCCCAAACATATATGTACCTTATCATTTACATAGACCCAAAGACTTTAAGGCCAGAAGGGACCATCAGGGATCATTTAGTCTGACCTTCTGCACATTGCAGGCCACAAAATCTCAGCCACCTACTCCTGTAATAAACCCCTAACCTCTGGCTGAGTTACTGAAGTCCTCAAAACATGATTTAAAGACTTCAAGTTACAGAGACCACCATTTACACTACTTTAAACCTGCAAGTGGCCCATGCCCCAGGCAGTAGAGGAATGCGAGACCCCTCCTCTACCCCCAGGGTGTTTGCCAATCTGACCCAGGGGAAAAGTCCTTGCCTACCCCAAATAGGTGATCAGTTAGACCCTGAGCATGTGACCCTGGGCAAGACCCACCAGCCAGACACCTGGGAACGAATTCTCTGTAGTAACTCAGAGCCCTCCCCATCTAGTATCCCATCTCCATCCACTGGAGATATTTGCTACTAACAGTCGCAGATTGGCTACTGCCATTGTAGGCAGTCCAATCATACCATCCTCTCCATAAACTTATCAAGCCCATTCTTGAAGCCAGATAGGTTTTTTGCCCCTACTGCTCCTCTTGGAAGGCTGTTCCAGAACTTCACTTCTCTGTTGGTTAGTAACCTTTGCCTAATTTCAAGCCTAAACTTGTTGATGGCCAGTTTATATCCATTTGTTCTTGTGCCAGCATTGATGCTTAACTTAAATAACTCTTTCCCCTCCCTGGTATTTATCCCTTTGATATAATTGCACTCTATAAATATATCTCCCCTCAACCTTTGTTTGGTTAGGCTAAACAAGCCAAGCTCTTTGAGTCTCCTTTCATAAGGTACTTTCCATTCCTTTGATCATCCTAGTGGCTCTTCTCTACACCTGTTCAGTTTGAATTAATCTTTCTTAAACATGGGAGACCAAAACTGTATTCCAGTATTCCAGATGAGGTTTCACCAGTGCTTTGTATAATGCTATTAACACTTCCTTGTCTCTACTAGAAATAAGTCGCCTGATGCATTCTAGGACTGCATTAACCTTTTTCACAGCCGCATCATGTTGGCGGCTCATAGTAATCCTGTAATCAACCAATACACCCAGGTCTTTCTCCTCCTCTGTCACTTCCAATTGATAAGTCCCCAGCTTATAGCAAAAATTCGTGTTAGTCCCTAAGTGCATGGCCTTGCACTTCGCACTATTAAATTTCACCTATTTTTATTACTCCAATTTTCAAGGTCATCCAGATCTTCTTATATGATATTCTGGTCCTACTCCATATTGGCAATACCTCCTAAGTTTGAGACATCTGCAAATTTTATTAACACATTCCCCCTTTTTGCGCCAAGGTCATTAATAAAAATGTTAAATAAGATAGGACCCAAGACTGATCCCTCTGGAACCCACTAGTAACCTCCCTCCAGCCTGACTGAAAGGTTCACCTTTCAGTATGATCTGTTGTAGTCTCCCCTTTTACCAGTTCCTTATCCAACTTTTATTTCTCATATTAATTCCCATCTTCTCCAATTTCCCATGTGGAACTGTATCAAATGCCTTACTGACATCCAGGTAGATTAGATCTACTGCATTTCCTTTGTCTAAAAAATCAGTTATCTTCTCAAAGAAGATCAGGATGGTCTGGCATGATCTACCTTTTGTAAAACTATGTTGTGTTTTATCCCAATTACCATTTACCTCTATGTCCTTAACTACGTTCTCTTTCAAAATTTGTTCTGAGACCTTGCATACAATTGAGGCCTATAGTTTCCCAGATCACATTTCCCCCCTTTCTTAAACATAGGTACTATATTAGCAATTCTCCAGTCATAGGGAACAACCCCGAAGTTTACAGATTCAGTAAAAATCCTTGCTACTGGGCTTGCAATTTCATATGCCAATTTCTATAATATTCTTGGATGGAGATTATCAAGACCTCCCCAATTTAGTGCCATAAAAGACTAAATAACCTAACTAAAATTTGTGAGTGGACAAGCCATGATCTGCCAAATAGTGGTGGATATTTTCCTTCAATCACATAAAAGGTATTGTCCATCTAGTTGAAATTTCACCTGGAGTATCCCTTTTGGGACTAACTTGTCTCCAGTATAAATCTTCAAAACCATACAGGTTTCTTCCAGAGCAACTTGTAACAAAGTCTGGTGATAGATGCAGAAATCAATGAAATGGCAGCTCCAGTATCAAGCTCCATTCTTGCAGAAAGTCTTCAATCAAGGGTGTGACCCAGATGCCATTTCTGATTCCAGCTTGTGATAATGTAGTGCTAAGTCTTGGCCAGTGTCACTAGAGCTCTTGTCTTTTTCCACATTATGAATTCCTGACTCCCATCTTCTCTTAGCTTCAGTCTTCATAGGTGTCTTCTTGTATGGACAATTAACCTGTGCTGGAGGTCGCTGAACTGTGACAGATCACAGCAATGTGTCCTTTCTTCTGGCACGTCCTACAAATGACCTGGTGTGTCCAGCAAGTCTTCTCAGCATGCATAGTTTGTGCACAGTGGCCACACAGAAATTCCTTACATTCCCGTGGTTTTCTGTCTCATCAGTTCACGAGATGAACTTGTCAGTTCATGCTAAAGTCCAGAGAATCCTGGAAGTCCAGCCACTTCAACAGCCTTCTTGAATGTAAGCACTGATACAGTAAATAATTTTTTCAGGACCTGCTCATTGCATAATCCAGAGACTAACTGGACATGGAGGGGCTCACTTAATATTTGTCTGAACTGACAGCTTCCTTAGAGCAGCAGTGAACTGTGCTACCGACTCTCCACTTCCCTGATGTCGCTGATTAAACTGATATAATTCTGCTACCATCGATGGGTAGGAGAAAAATGTTCCTGCATTGTTGCATGAATTGCAGCGTACGTGGCAGTTCTGGGCACAGTTGGAGACAATAGGTCATGCAGCAGTCTGTATGCCTTCAGACCCATCACTGTCAACAAGGGTCTAACTCGTTATCTGACTGGAATAGAGTTGCAAGTTACAAATTACTCAAAATGTTTGAGATACACCACCCATGATTTGCAGTTGTTGTCAAATTCACCAACATTGCCCACACAAATTGTCATTCCTCTGTTCTTCTGTTGGACTTCAAACCTCCTGGACATCTTCTCTGCCACAAGGAAATTCTTTTTTTGTTACTGTGCGTCTACACTCAATCTGCCTCTTTTGGCTGCATGCCAACACTGCAGACTGTAGAATTCTCCCTTTGGCTGTATTTGGGCTCCCTGTACTGTCTGTAGACCCTCTGGCCAGGCTAAGCTGCTGCTCAGGCCACTTGCTTGCACATGGTCTGTCAACATGGTTGCTTACTTCCCCCTCACTGCTTTGTTTTCAGTAGCTCTGAGCAGCAGACTATTCTTTGTTCAGTTTTTAATTGCCAATTCCCCCTCTCTAGCTGAGTGGTTCATACTCTCCCAGTAGCAAAAGCAGCAGTCTGTCACCTTGTGCCTCTGGGTGAACTTCCCCCTTGTTTACAGTATTATTTCCTTCCTTTTTCTTCTTTTCATTCAGGCAATAGGAGCACTGGACATGCAGGGATAGAAATCCTTCATTGCCAAATGTTGTATCTGGACCCAGCGGAGAATGAAATACAGACACAGAGAAGCTCATTTAAGCACATATAGCTGCCGTGGAAACCTTTATTATTCTTGCAGCAAAACTGAAACCAACCCGAAAGTGAGGCTTTGCACTGGGGAGGGGGAGAGTGCTCAAACATTTAAAGGGACAGGGCATCAGTTTTCTTTCATTCTGTAGGAAGGAGAAAGCACTAGACTTCTTACAAATTCCCTCTCCTACCAGTGTAATGCAGCAGCTACCTTCCTTTCATGCAGAATCAAAAGCACCTGTTAATGCAATGCAGCCTGCAAATTCTTCTCCTCCTCCTTTGAAACAGAGAGCTGCTTCTTTTGTGAGCCATCCAGTTTTCTCTAACCTGTGCAGAAATCTGTCTTGTGTGGTAGTAAACTGCCGTATTAGCTTGAGACCTTAGCCTGTCTTCAGAACGGTGTGCAACAGCTGCCAGTGCTGCCTACCAACACGGCTTTATATTTCATTTTTTAATAGATTCCAAGAGCCTGGAACTTCAATCTGTTGCAAAACCAAACTCAAAAGTGGCTTCTGTTCAGCCCTTGATTCATTCTCATGTCACATGTGGATAGGGTGACCAGATAGCAAGTGTGAAAAATCAGGACAGGGGGTGGGGGGTAATAGGAGCCCATATTAAAAAAAGCCCCAAATATTGGGACTGTCCCTATAAAATTGGGACATCTGGTCACTCTACATATGGACAGTTTTCTATCGTCTCCATTGCAGGCTGAGTTTGGGAGGGAATGGAAGGGCCTAGCAAAGAGTGTGTGCTATCATTGTATTACAGTTAAACATTAGATGGGCTCTTCAGTTTCACCACAGAAGCTCAATGGCTGGAGAGAGAATCTTAGTTTCTGTATAAGCTTTAGAGATAGGGTGGAAATCAGTTTTGATAACCTGCTCTGATAAGAGTCCACTGCACCAGTAAAGGGTCATTTGAATACTGACAATTCCAATTCCCCGTGTAGCTACTAGCCTGTTCCACAAAGTTTTGGCTTTTCTTTGTTACTGTGTTAATGTTCCTCCACAGCTGTCTGATGGCCAGAGCCTTCTGTTGCCTCCTCTAATTCTAGCAGAACTTGGTAAAGATCCACAAAAACCCACTGTATGTTTCTATGGACATGTGGATGTACAACCTGCCAAAAAAGAAGATGGATGGAAAACTGACCCCTACACACTGACTGAAATTGATGGTCTGTACATGGTCATTATTCTGGCACAAGTATTTGTATGCATGACACTAACTTAGGGAGTGGGAGGAGGTTCCCTCTAAACTCAGGCCTGGTGTAAGAAGGTGCTACTTGTGTGGAAATCTCTGGGATAAATTCAGGGGAAACGGGCCTTCAGGAGCCGTGCTGTCATTAGTTGAGTCCTGCTTGTGACTGCACAGAATCAGCTGGGAAAGAGCCAGCAGGAGTTAATCAGGGTTGGTTGTAGGAGCAGGCAAGCAGGGCAGTCGCCCTGGTTGCAAACTTCCAGTGGGCACTGTATTGCTGTGCTGCTTGTGGGTTTTCAGTTTTGGGGGGTGTTTTGTTTTTGCTCTGCTTTGATTGGCTGGCTGGTTTTGTTTTTGTTTTGGCTCTGCTGATTTGTTGGCTGCGGGCTGCACGTGATGGGGTTTATTTGGTTTTTTGGTTGGTTGGTTGGTTTGCTTAGAAACTGGTGGGCTGAAAACATTTTCTGCCTTAGTCAACAAAACAGAACAGGGCATGTTTTTGCTCTGAAATCCTCTGGGTCAGAAGAGGATGATGCAGAATGAACAGCGCCTCCTCCCATTCTGCTGTCTACCCAGTTCTGTGATACCACAGCTCCACAGAGCTCTGCCAAAGGACCTCCCACAGGGGCCAAAAGTCAAGGGCGGCTGTGAGCCCCCCATTTGGGAAGGCTAGCCATGCGGCCCCACCCCTTCTGTCCGAAGCCCTGCCTCCACCCCACCCCCATCCGCTGGAGCCCCGAGCCTCCCCCCATCCCCTCCCCAGCTGGAGGAGCCCCAGCCGAACCGCCCTGGGCCTCCGGCCCCAGCTCTGGGCCACCAGCTGGTCCCTCTAGCCTGCTGCCTCTAGCCAGAGCTGAGCTCCCACAGGCTTGGCAGAGCGCGTGTGGGGCCAGAGCTTGGTTTACGGGAGGCTTAGCCCCTCCTGGCCTATTATACCCACCACCCATGCCAAGAGTGATGCATGGAACTCAGTCATATTCCCTCCCTTAATTTCATGCTCCCACGAGAAATCAGATGGATCTAAGGCAATGTAGAAGAGAAAACTATGGAGCCAAGGTCACAGTGAGTCAGTAGAAGAGTAAAGTAGAGAACTCAGAAATCCCAACTCCCACTCCTGTGCTCTAACCACTAGACCACTCCTTCCCACTCTTTGGGACCGATTCCTGTCAAACTTACCAGTGTAGCTCCATTGACTTCAGTGGCAGTTACTCTGGATTTACACCAATGTGAATGATAGCAGAATCTGGACCTTTATAAACATATACAAATTTATCAGTCTGAAAAGTTTTGTAGTAATACCATGGCCTGTATCCCTGGATGCATTTATAGGACTTCTAGGTAGTGTGCAATTCCTACACACATCACTGCTGAATGATACCATCCCTACAGTTCTTTTTATGGGCTTCATCTGCATAGCAACTGCATGTTGTGCCAAACTGTATTGAAATGTTGTGGTCTGGACATACTTCTGTTAAGAACTAGAATAAAACCAGCAAGCAGACTTGTGCCACAAATCAACATTTGAACTTGGAGACTCAGAGGTCTAGTGCACTAACCCTACTGGAAAACATCTAACACCTTTACTTAAAACTATTCTGTGAACTCCTGGTTCCATTAACTTCAATGGGAGTTTTGCCATTGACTTCAGTAGAGCCAGGATTTCACCCATTTATATCTGAAGCAGCATCAAAGGCTCCAAAGTTTGATATAAGCTTTTTATTTTTATTTTTTTTTAAGGAAATCTTTATGGGCGTGGAGCAACAGATAACAAAGGACCTGTCTTGGCCTGGATAAATGCAGCGGAATCATTCAGAGCACTAAAATTAGTAGGTAGCAAAGAGAAACGTTTGTATTACAGTGGCACTGCAGGAGTGAATTTCAGAAGTAACCTCATCCCCACAAATTGGTTTCATATATTTGCAAACATTAGTATATTTTTAATGCTGTTTCCAAGCCCGCCCCAAGATCATTTTGTGCTTGGGTATTTTATGTATTGACCAGGCTCAATGTAATGCAGAGGGTGCTATCTCCTTGTCCTGCCTTATAGAAGGTACTGAGGAAAAAGGCAAGCATTAAACTGATTTGATACCCAGGAAGATCATTTGCTTGAAAGCTTTTTAAAATTGTAAAAGAACTGACTTTAAAGTAAGTATTGATCATGCTTAGTTTTGCACCTTTCTGTTCTGCTCTTGGCTGCAAGTTATCATCGGTATGTGTGTATCCACGGCCAGAATCAGGAAACAAAAGCACCTGGAAAATGCTCATTCAGAACAGTATATTCTTTCAACAGCATATGAGATTCAGCAAAGAAAACAGCTAATCTGCAAATATATAAATTATATCTTAAGTTATTTACTGTCCAAGTCCGCTGTTGTAAAGTCCAGGGTTTTGTACTGGTGTTAAATCTGAAACCTGGAGAAATGCAATGTGATGCTTTCTGTTTAACTTAAAAGACCATCTTCATAGTCTGAAAATGAACCACAGTGGAATGCTGAGCTTAGTTTTTCTTTCTTGTTTGGGACATATGAGCATTTCTAACTCCCACTGGCCCTTGATGAAAGTTGTCGTATGACCTTGCCTGCATTGAAGATTTTCTCAAATTCTCCCTATGCTGCAGTAGCTGTGCAACTTCACTGGTGCTAAGGGCACTGGAAGTACCGCTGTAGACTGCCCATCCGCATTTTTACCACCATATCACTTAATCCTGCAGGTTTAGAGAACACAATGATAAAAATGCCAGCAAAGGGCCTACACAGACAGCCCTTCCATGGCTAGCATTGGCAGAGCTGCAACAGTGGGAGATATAGAGGAAAACTTCAGTGAAGATGCAGCCTGTATGTTAGGGAGCAAGAAAAAAAAAAGGAAAATAAGGAAGAGAGAGAGAGAAAGTTTATAAGGGAAAGGAAATGTTGTCCCTGAGGCTGTATGTTCCAGGACTGCCCTTTCTATAGGGATGTGTTGTTGTTAATTATTTATTACTTGTATTACCAAGAACCCTAGTTGTGACCAGGATCCCATTTTGCTAGGCAAACATGGCACAAAAAGGGGCTCCCTGCCCCAAAGAGATGACAATTTAATTAGACAGCCCACTTGGGCTGCCCCCCCCCATAGCCCAGTTTATTAGCCCTCTTAATTATTAAAAATGCCAGTTTCTTACCTACGCTTTGTTGATTTTTTTACTTAGGACATACCAGTAAACCTCAAGTTCATTATTGAAGGTATGGAAGAAGCAGGATCTCTTGGACTAGAGGAAATAATTAAGAAAGAAAATCAGCGTTTTTTCTCCGATGTTGACTTTTTTGTGATTTCGGATAACCTTTGGCTTAGCAACAGGAAACCAGCCCTCACGTATGGGTCTCGGGGAAACATCTGCTTCTCTGTGGAGGTACAAGAGAAAATGGCATTGATTTATTTGGGGTTGGGTCCTGGGGCAGAGGATGACAATGTGCTCTGTAAATACGTGTTTGTGAGCAGAGGGACAGACTGACTGACTGCGAGTACAGATCCACATTCTCTCCCACTTCCACACCTCCCCGCCCTAATTTCATCAGCTCCATTCACTCTCTCTCTTCTCCCAATCCCTCTCCGACTCTCCCTCACCTTCTCCTCATTCACAATTTCACATTCACTTTCATTCTCTCCTTCTCTCCCCTCTCCCTCCTCCAACCTCCCCTCCACCCCCAAAGGTACATCTACGCTGCAGCTGGAGGTGCAGTTTCCAGCTCGGGTAGACATACACGCACAAGCTTTGATCAAGTTGGCACACTAAAAATAGAAGTTGTTGCCTTTGTGGCACAGGCAGTGGCACTGGCTAGCTGCCCAAGTACAACCCCAGCCCCACTGCTGCCCCACCCCTGTGTGGCAGGCACTGCTCAATGCATGATGTCTGCCAGCAGAGTGCACAACTTAGTGGGGACTGTTGGTTGAGAAGCCACACTAAGGTTCTGAAGCCACTGACCAGAGTAAGTAGTACACTGTAAGTGATTTAGCAACTTGCATGAGCCACTGGGAAATATAGGGAGGACAGGGAAATAAATTCCCTGGCTGGAAGTTTTTGCGTCAGTAAGTAAGAGGGGAGATACTGCCTTGGCCCCAGGGCCGGCTCTAGGTTTTTTGTCGCCCCAAGCAAAAAAATTTTTGGCCACTCCCCCATTTTTTTTTGGCTTTTGCACTTTGCAATGCTTTTGTTTTTGTTTTGTTTTGACTGTAAAATTAAACAAAAAAAGAAAAAGAGAATTTGTAGTTAGTGAAATAAAACAATTTCCTACTAGTGTTCTCATTTAATTTTAACAAAATGACAATTACAAACAATTTGGGTTCAACTATACACTATAATGAAAAACGTTAGTGTCTTCCAGTGTGCCCAGTTTCTCATAAATTAAAAGAATTTATATGAACTGAATTTTTCTGGTTTTATACTTGTGTAGTCTTTTAATAATTCAGTGGCTGCCCCCCCTAAGCAGGACTTTCCCCCTCTCCACCCAGCTGCAGCCCCGCCAGCCGCCCCTGCCCCAGGACACCTTTGCCCCCCGTTACCTTCGGTTCCGTTTGGGTTTGGGCTGGTTCCCCCCAGGGTGCGCCTTGCTCTGAGCTGCTTCCCCCCCCCACTGCGCTTTAAGCAGCCTGGCTGGTCTGTTCTCCCTGGCCCGCTGGCCCGGGGGATCGGGTGTCAGCAATTGGCCGCGTCTGTCAAAGCGGCTCCTCTCCGACCCCCTGCGAGCAGGAGCTGGGGACTTTGCCTCACACCCACTCCCCCTGGCTCTGCTGGGCTGGGAGCCACTCTGCAGGCAAAGCACATTGTGCAGAGCCAACCTGGCTGCTGCCAGGTCCTAGCACTGCCCGATCTGTCCATTGGTGGATTTTTCCGGAAAAAAAAAGGATGGCCGGAATGCCGCCCCTGGAAATGGGCCGCCCCAAGCACGTGCTTGCTTTGCTGGTGCCTAGAGCCGGTCCTGCTTGGCCCCATTCTTCAATCTAATCCCTAGAGAACCAAATCAAAATCTGCATCAACCCCAGTACTGGAAAAAGAATAAAATTAGTAGATGAATATTTTGACTAAAAGCGAATCTCTCAAGATCCTGAATACAACTCTTTCAAGCCATGCTGAAACAGAATGACTCCATCAAAATAGCAAAAATGATCCATATCTGCTACTAGATGGCTGCACAGAATGATACTTGGAGCTCAACCTGTCTGTCTCATACTCTGCCGCAAAGCCACTAGGCCATCTTTCACTTGCCAGAAGCAGACCTGAGACCATTTCTGAGTCCCTATGGAAAGCCAGTGATTTGAAAGCATTAAAACAATGTTCTGTGCATGTCAACATGTTACCTTTATTTCACACAGGTACGGTGTGGGGAGAGAGATCTTCATTCAGGAAGTTTTGGAGGCATCATTCATGAACCAATGACTGACCTAATAGCTCTGCTTGGTAATACTGCATATCGTATTACTAGACGATAACTAGTTAGTAATGGGTTAGGGTGAACCTCAGAAATTCAGTGGTTCAGTTTGGCTTGTGTAAGCATCCTGACATTTGGATGATCATGTGTGGGGGATTTTGTGTGTGAAGTTGGCCCATTGACTTCAGTAGAACAGCTCAGGTTAAATGTTAAAGTGCCTTGCTGACTCCAGGCCTATTCTGGAGTTAAATGTGGCCCCTCAGTGCCTGTCTAAAATACATATACTTCCCACTATTTCCACCCGGGCTATCAGTGTTAGGAGCCCTAGAGTAGATGGCCCACTAGTTGCTAACACTATTTTCAGCACCATGTTTATTAGACCTGCTCCAGACAAGTCTTGTTGACATGTTCTATTAGTGAAGGTTTCTGAAATTGAATATATTTTATGCTAATTCTTATATAAACTGAATGATGTTTCCATGTCAGCCACTAGCTCCATGAAAGACTGAACAGCAAAGAGCAACTCAGTGTGTTTCTTAGTAAATTAGAAAATACCCCAGGCCAGAGACCTCCTAACCATTATACAGTTATCTCCCTTTTCATATTGTTAAATGGGAATGAGTGACTTGACTAGATGCGACTGAGTCTTGGTATGAAAAAGAGGGGTCCCAGTATGGAAATGGTTGAGAACCACTGCCCTAAATTAAAGGGAAGATTGTGCCTGTTGGTATCTGTTCTGTAGATAGCCTTGTGGATACATCAGGTCGTATTTTGATCCCTGGAGTCTATGATGATGTTGCTTCCCTAACGGAAGAGGAGAAGAAGTTGTATGAAGCAATTGAATTTGATATAGAGGAATATAAAAATAATAGTGGTGTGAAAAAATTCCTATATGACACTAAGGTACAGTAACATCTTTATTAATGGTCTGCAGAAAGAATTTAAATGACCCATTAATTACTTTCACCGATTACTCCGAACTTCAAGGTTTTTCAAGCAACAGTGAACACAGGAAAAAAACCAAAAAAAACAAAAAAAAAAAAAACATGGATAAAAAAAAAAAAAAAAAAAAAAAAAAAAAAGATTTGGCCTGGTCAAATGCAAACATCTGGGGGAAAATAATCGAAAATGCAGATAGTCAATAACAAATAGTAATACAAAAAAACCCTCCAAAACCCAACAACCCCCCAAAACAAACAAAAAATACTTATTAGAGAGCCAAGGTGGATGACATACTTTTATTCGTATCCCACCTTGTGTCTCCAATATCCTGGGACCAACACAGCTACAACAACACTGTATACAAAAAACCACTTATGTAAGACCATAGACTAGAGAGTAAATTGAATTCAGACTTGGAAAGTGGATGGCAGCAGAAAAGTTGGTATAATTTGGGGCTGGTTTTATTTATTTATTTTAGATTTTATGTCTGAAGCTTTTGACAGAATTTTAAAATGACAATCCCAAAATTAACAATACCAATAAAACCCAGCAGCTAAGAACTGGTCTACCCAAGTTGTACCAGTATTCCTATGTCAGTTAGGGATGTGATTTTTTTAAAATTACCTCTATATTTATGTTGGTGTAAAACCCTAGCATGTATGCAGTTATTCCGGTATATAAGTGCCTTATACTGATATAGCTTATTCCACTTCCTGAACCGGAATAAAACTATACCGTTTTAAGCACTCTTATATTGATATAACTGTCCACACTAGGGAGTTTTTTACCACTTTAACTATATCAGTATAGTTAAAGCCATACAAATTGTCTTTTGCATCCGCTCCAGAGAATGGATGGGATTGTTCGCTGATCACTGTCCAGTTATCCTTTCCATTATTTAGATATGAGTTGCCCATTATTAAAAGCTTTTCTTCCCTTCTTCACCATCAGAGCTTGTCCATTCTGCTTAGTATCATTTGAACCAGTGCATAAATAGGGTAGAGCAAGATGGTGTAAAACCCTGTTAACTGAGTAGGCCAGCAGTTCTAAGGTGAGTGGTTTTAGTAGCTGATTGGAGACTACATAATAATGATCCCTGTTAACTTGGTAATGATCATATTCCAGGCTAATACACGCCTTTGCCATTGGCATTAGAATTTATTAGCCCAGGATACAACTACTACTTTGCAAACGAGAAGCACGCTCAAGTTATCATTGAAACATTTATAAACAAATAACATACAGTTTATGGAGAGATTATCACAATTCATGATCCTTTTATAAAATTAGAAGTAATGACAACTGAAAATAACTAAATAATCACTACATAAGCCAGTTGGTTGTTAGAATTTGAAAAACAAAAATGAACTCCTAATGGTATTTTTCTTTTTAGTTCATTATTTTTATTATACACTTTTACCTCCAAGACACTCTTGCCAGGCCATTTTTTCACCTGTCTGCTCTTACTGTCACCAGAGTTGTATATGAATAACTTTCCTCTTCCATATATTCTCATGCTGTAGGTAAATGTTGACTAAAAGAAGTAGCAGTGTTTACTTAAAAAGATCTTTACCGGCTAGGGGTTTCAATCACAAATCAATCAGCTCTAAATTGCAGAAGTAATCAAGCACAAATTTTACATGCAAGATAGTTAGCTTTTCAGTAGATTGTGTGAATTTTGAATGGCTGTGTCATTGTCACTTTTGTTTTGTTTGTTACATTATAAAGGAGGAAATACTTATGCACCTGTGGCGTTACCCCTCTCTCTCTATTCATGGGATTGAAGGAGCTTTTCACGAACCAGGAATAAAAACAGTTATACCCGCAAAAGTAATAGGAAAATTTTCAATCCGGCAAGTCCCTCACATGGACATTTCAATTGGAGAACATCAGGTAATACTGGCAAACTTCAACTTTTGGTCAGTTCTCAGCATGTTAAATTCCTGTTAATTTCAGAGATCCTGTCAACACTTAAAATTTACAGAATAATGAATGGCATCTTTCCACTATGTGGCTGTGTATGGGCTTGGGAGTGAAAGTGTGTGTCTGTGAGTGCACAATTTCTGGATATATTATTGTTGAAGGATGTAATGTATAAACACTGTTAATGAAAAGATGCTTTCCTTTTAGGTGATAAAATATTTAGAGGATGTATTCTCTAAGAGAAACAGCCCAAACAAACTGAAGGTGTCTGTGCCAACAAGTGCAATGCCATGGGTTGCTAACATAAATGATCCTCTTTATACAGCAGCAAGAAAGGCAATCAAAACAGGTTTGTTCTTTCTTTTATTATTTTTAACATCCACCAAACAATGTCACACTAACAGTGACTTGCACAAAGGAAAAGGAACTTTCCTAAAATTAATGAATTTCTTGTTTGGAACATTATTTAGATCCAGATAATTTGGGAAGGCGGGGCGCGGTACTTATTCAGTGAATGAACTGTGCCTGTTTGGTGACATGCTTGCAGTTTGGTTTTATGGTTCTAGTCTCCCATCAGTGCATTTAGATGCAGGTAACCGCTTATTGCTGCCTTATGTATCAGGCACACTGAGGAAAACTCACCTCAGTGCTGCCCATTGACATATCATGATGTACCTGATAGAATATGATTTCAGTGGAGTGTAATACGTACTCAAATAAATAAATGCTGCACAGCAGGTAAATGGGGGGGGGGACAGCTATGCAGATAGGCATTACCCTTGTAAATGCTCCCTCTTGTTGATAAAAGGTCTTTTTAATGTTACCCCTCAGAAATATGAAATATGGTTGTCTCCCTACCTCAGGAAAGGTAATGTAAGCAGGTCTTTCACTGCTAGATCTGAGTTAAAGTTTCTCTTTCCCTGGGACACTGTAAGCTTCTCCTGGAACCCCTAGGAATTGCCCTCCTCCCCTGCCTGTCCTCTTTTCTTCTCTCCATTCCCAAGCAACATGGTAAAAATATTAAGAACCTGATTGCTTCTGCCACTCTGCAACACTTTTGCTTAGGTTATTCAAAGGGGGCTTGGGGCAATAGAGAGGGTATTTCCTCTTCCCCTAGGAAGGAGTGAGCAATGCTGTCTCTTTCTCACTTCATGTATCTTTGCTTTCTACACAACATTAAATATATGTGACACAGCAGGACTCCAAATAATTGTGTTTACTAACTGTATATAACAGGGGTTGGCAACCTCTGGCACGTGGCTCGCCAGGGTAAGCACCCTGGCGGGCCGGGCCAGTTTGTTTACCTGCCGCGTCGGCCGGTTCGGCCGATCGCGGCTCCCACTGGCCACAGTTCGCCATCCCAGGCCAATGGGGGTGGTGGGAAGCCGCAGCCAGCACATCCCTCGCCCGCGCCGCTTCCCGCAGCCCCCATTGGCCTGGGACGGCGAACCGCGGCCAGTGGGAGCCGCGATCGGCTGAACCTGCCGACGCAGCAGGTAAACAAACTGGCTCGGCCCGCCAGGGTGCTTACCCTGGCAAGCCGTGTGCCAGAGGTTGCCGACCCCTGATATATAAACACACAAGGCCTAGCTACATATATACACTGCTGCAATGTTAGATTCTGGTGGCTTCTACAATAGAAAAAATAGAAGCCCATTAGAGGGTTACATTACTTTTCAAAAGCAGAAGACTCACTTACACCACTTTAAAAAGAGGAGAAAACCTAAAACCCAGTGCAAACAGCTGATTTTTGAGGCTCTGATTTAGCAAGGTATTTAACCATGTGCTTAATATTAATCATATGAGTTGAGTCATTGATTTCAATAGGACTACTTGGTCTTAAAGTTAGGTATATGCTTAAGCACCTTCTTGAATTGGGGCCTATATTGCAAGGTAAGAGGCAGCCGGAAGATACTGTCTCACTTTTCTGTGTACTGAGATGCAAAATCAGGATAGTATCAAAAGACTAGTATAGTTTTCGAGGATATGTATGTATAATGGCATTATTACATCAGCTGGCTATACAGTCTCCTCCAAAAGAAATACTACCAAGAAAAGTTTGTGCTGGGCAGAATGCCAAAGCTCACTAGCTCCAGTGAAGAGACCAGTGTGTCTTCATTTTACTTCTGCAGAATTTCATTCTTTCCATGTGTTTCAGTTTTTGGACAAGATCCAGAAATGATCCGGGATGGCGCAACAATTCCTATTGCCCAAATGTTCCAGAATATAACAAGGAAGAGTGTGATGATGCTTCCAGTTGGAGCAGCTGATGATGCGGAGCATTCCCAAAAAGAGAAAATAAGCAGGTTAAAATAAAAAAAAGGCACCCTAAGAGACGAGAGGAGGAACTGAAGTACTAATACTCACCCACAGCAATCCCAGCATACTAGGCTGTGCCCACCTGATTCTAATTGACAATCCTGTCTCATTCTTTTTATCCAATAGATAGAATCTATTTTGGGGTATTCAGAGTTGTATATGCTTATCCTAATGACAAAAAATAAGGTTTTGCTGCTTTTTTATTTGTGTTGCTCCTGCAGCGCCAAACAAGGCTAAAAAGGAATAAGATGGAGTCTATTCCTTCTTCCCTATTGACAGAAGTGCATTGTTGCCAACTTGCATGAGTTTATTGCAAGTCTCATAATAATTGGTGTTTTTTTCTTGAAGTCCCAGCCAGCTGCTGGAATCAAGGGATTGCATGATAATCTCAGCTGTCATTTAAAAAAAAAAACAACCTATGTTTCCGGCCCTTGTGATTGTGGAGAAAAACTTAAGAATGTGAAGGAAGTGTGTCCTAAAGTCTCTGACAACTGAAGGCAAATAAAAATAACCCAACATTTATTTTTTTTTAAAAATCACATGAATTTTAAGTTTATTTTCTGATTGTTTGGAGCCTGATGCATGACTTTGGAATGCATGGGGTCGCCAATACTGGAATTGTCTACCAAGTTCCAATGAGTTACACTTTCAGACAGTTAGGTTTTCACTGAGGGCATAATTTGAAGCAAATAGTGTGACTGAGGAAGGCTGCAGGCCCATTATAACAGATTGTGATATGGAAGAACTCAGCTTGATTCTTAGAACTCAGGTTTATATTTGCAGGGCTGGCAGCTAGAAGAAAATACCTTTTTCTTGTAAACTGACCACATTTGATCTGGAAATCATTGAGAGACAGACAGTAAACATGAAATCCCACTATCACATTCAACAGTTGCTTTTTCAGAGTAGACCCACACATTAAGGTTATGGACAGAAGTACTGAGGGGACACAACACAAAAATCTGAATCCTCTGATCATCTTTCTGGAATACACACGTTGCTGCATGTCAGGAAAACCAGATGTTAAACGGCATCCTTAATTCATGCAGTTGTTCCATCCTTTCCACTTACCAGGTTAATAAAGGAAGGCCTGACAACGCTGTCCTTTTAGGATGGAAGAGAAAATGTAATGTCTTCTGCCTGACCCTTTAGCTTGTCTGTGTTGATATGCTGTTAATTCACAGAGAAAGACTTGCCATCATAGCTGGCACTAATAACAAATTTATGAGACACTTAGCAAAGAAATATGGATTAAATTGGCACAGAACACTGCAGTTCCTGTCTCATCCCTAGAGATGGTTTTCCCTCCCTCCCCACCCCTGAGCTAGGATAAGGCATTTTGGTAGGATGGGATGGAGAAGCTAGCATGGCCATTTCCCGTGTTGTGTTTGTCCTGTGGATAATTTGGAGATTTACAATTTAAGGGTTCTTAATCTGGCACCTTGAAACCCAATCACTTAATTCTTCCCTTTTCTCTCCCTCCCCACTAAATGTAGGGCCCGATCTTGCAAAGTGTTGAATACCCTCAAGTCTAATTGAAACCCATAGGAGTTGCTGGTGTCGAGCACCTCACAGGGTCAGGCCCTTGTTTTGCATAATCTGTTTAGCAACATTGGTCTTTCTTTCTTTTTTTGCATAGGCACAATTACATTCAAGGAACAAAACTGTTTGCAACCCTTTTCTTGGAGATTGCAAAACTGCCTGGAAAGTTACAGGAAAAGTCCAACACAACGACTACAAACTGATGGATCCTGGCAAGACAATAAGCTAGACACCTGCCTATTGTCTTAAATATTCTAACCTCCTTCTTTATTACTCTGGAGAAACATGTACAAACAATAAAATAGTTAGACGTGCACCGCATGTCTGAAACTGTTGAAAAATTAAATGCCTCTTACTGCTTACAACCCGCACTAACTAGCATATAGACAACGTTTAACCAAATCAAGCAATTCCTTGCGCAATACAATTGGATCAGAGGTGCCTCATGCTCATTGAATGGAATGTTTCAGTTTGTAACTTTAGCCTAGGGGGGTGTGGGAGCAGGAAACACAGTTTGTTATTAAAGTTTACTTATTTCCAGACATGAGCCAGGTCAGCCGATAGTTGGGGGGTAGAGTGAGGGCAGCTGGCTTCAGCAGTGTTACTGAGCATGCTCAGTCCATGCGAGCATGCTCAGTACAAGCCAAGCAGCAAATCTGGGGGTGGGGGAGCATGTGACCTCGCATGCCCCCCTACCCCATATTACTGCTGCATATTTGCAGTTTGGCAAAGATCGTATTGCTTTGTTCACATTCCAATTCCTGACATAAGCTCCTTCGCAGTACCACTTCTTTCCTTTTGGATATGTATGAATTGCTATCAGATGATTTGCTGAAAAATATTTCACCATATTAACCTCTTGCCTGGTCACTTTTCCTACGCAAAAAACTGGAAATAAGATGAATATGCCATCAGGATCAGTTTGTCAAACTCATTGTAAAGAATAGCCCAGTCCTGCAATCTCTCATTCTCATGAACAGTACCTCTGAAGTCAATGGAGCCTCTCAGGCAAAAAAAGATTTGCAGGTTTGGATCCTGCCTCTTTCTCTGTTTAATCCTATTCTCTTTCCATTTTGCTGTTTGGCATTAAAGATTGCTGTGTATTATTCTCCTCCTTAATGTGACTTTTTTTTTTATACACCAAACATAAAGTCATTCATGAATATCTTTTCAGACTGATAGTGTATCACCTAATAGGTGTTTTACTCCCAAATCAACTGGCTCTAAATTATCATCACTTTTAAAGCATCAATTTTAGGTTAAGAACAAATTAAAAATTAAGACAAGTGATGTAAATGTAGTTTCAACACACACATATGAGAGAGTTACTTTTGTTGTTGTTGATTTTTTTTTTTTTTTTTTGGTTAAACCTCTGGAACAACTTACATGAGGAAGACAGACAAGATTGTGTGTCTAGTACAAATCTGTATCTGTGTCAAATCAAAATGGGAATGATTTTGGCCACATAGTTTACACAGAAACAGAATGATCAATCCAGTTTGAAACAACTGAAATAGTGAGAGAAAAGAACTTTATTTTGTGCAACGATGTTATTCTTGGTGACATTATCCCTATTGTCAAAAAGATTAAATATTTAATAAATAATGGAAACTGACCTCTTCTTTTTTTACCCTGCATAATAATGAGAACAAGGAAAGGGAAAGTTTGGAGCCAATAAATGGAAATTCTTTGTAATTCTCTGTGGAATCAGCTGCTGCAAGAGGACAGCAGGATAAATGCTACAGCGGACTTTTTAAAAAGCTGAACTAATTTCTAACCATCAATCTCATTTGTAGTTATGCAAGAGACTTCTCTCTGCTTCTGGGAACACTTTGTGCAAGTTCTCCACCTGCAATGCAGAAGTGTTACCACCTCCAAAAATATTCAGATGGAAAATACCTGATAAGATCTAATAAATAGTGTTGTTGGGGCATGATATAGCACTGCTACACATAGAGGTTTAAGTTCTTTTTTTTTTTTTTTTAAAGCCTGTGAGCAGTGTATCTCCCAGCTCAATACTGGTAAAAGAAGGCCTCTCCGGGGATGCATGGGCTATATAAATATCCTCCACTCTTATGACCAGCAAGAAGGGCAGTGCAGTGATCATCTCCAGACTTGGCCCCCTACTGCTCCCTGCCCTTCCTGTCTATCTGTGTAAACTTTCCCCCAGATCAAAACCTGTTGCAAGGGAGCCCTCAAAGGGGCCAGCACCCCTTTTCTTCCAGCTAACCAAAGACCCCTCTGCATGAAGGTTGCGGTGGGCACAATCTTTGAAGAAATGTTGTGGTTAGTTTTGTGATTGTGATAGCTTCCCCAAAACAAAACTAACAGTAAGAAGGTTTTGTGGGGAAGAGACTTCAATATTGATGTAATAATGGTAACAATAAATTTATCATACATTAGTCTCATAATGTTAGGTCATTAAAAACTTGCCTGTGCCTTTAAGGAGCTTTTAGACATACCTTCAATTACTTTATCCTTTATAAAGTGGAAGTCAAATCCTAGTGAGGTAAACAGAAAGGAGCATAAACACTGCCAAATTAAGTGTAAAAATTTAATAAGAAAAGCCAAAAAGGAGTTTGAAGAACAGCTAGCCAAAAACTCTAAATGTAATAACAAAATGTTTTTTAAGTACATCAGAAGCAGGAAGCCTGCTAAACAACCAATGGGGCCCCTGGACAAGAGAAATACAAAAGGAGCGCTTAAAGACGATAAAGTCATTGTGGAGAAACTAAATGAATTCTTTGCTTCAGTCTTCACAGCTGAGGATGTTAGGGAGATTCCCAAACCTGAGCTGGCTTTTGTAGGTGACAAATCTGAGGAATTGTCACAGATTGAGGTGTCACTAGAGGAGGTTTTCGAATTAATTGATAAACTTAACAGTAACAAGTCACCAGGACCAGATGGCATTCACCTAAGAGTTCTAAAAGAACTTAAATGTGAAATTGCGGAACTATTAATTATGGTTTGTAACCTGTCCTTTAAATCAGCTTCTGTACCCAATGACTGGAAGTTAGCTAATGTAACGCCAATATTTAAAAAGGGCTCTAGAGGTGATCCCAGCAATTACAGACCGGTAAGTCTAACATCAGTACCGGGCAAATTAGTTGAAACAATAGTAAAGAATAAAATTGTCAGACACATAGAAGAACATAAATTGTTGGGCAAAAGTCAACATGCTTTCTGTAAAGGGAAATCATGTCTTACTAATCTATTAGAGTTCTTTGAAGGGGTCACCAAACATGTGGACAAGGGGGATCCAGTGGACATAGTGTACTTAGATTTCCAGAAAGCCTTTGACAAGGTCCCTCACCAAAGGCTCTTACGTAAATTAAGTTGTCATGGGATAAGAGGGAAGATCCTTTCATGGATTGAGAACTGGTTAAAAGACAGGGAACAAAGGGTAGGAATAAATGGTAAATTTTCAGAGGTAACTAGTGTGGTGTTCCCCAAGGGTCAGTCCTAGGACCAATCCTATTCAACTTATTCATAAATGATCTGGAGAAAGGGGTAAAAAGTGAGGTGGCAAAGTTTGCAGATGATACTAAACTGCTCAAGATAGTTAAGACCAAAGCAGACTGCGAAGAACTTCAAAAAGATCTCACAAAACTAAGTGATTGGGCAACAAAATGGCAAATGAAATTTAATGTGGAAAAATGTAAAGTAATGCACATTGGAAAAAATAACCCCAACTATACATACAATATGATGGGGGCTAATTTAGCTACAACTAATCACGAAAAAGATCTTGGAATCATCGTGGATAGTTCTCTGAAGACGTCCACGCAGTGTGCAGTGGCAGTCAAAAAAGTGAACAGAACGTTAGGAATCATTAAAAGGGGGATAGAGAATAAGACGGAGAATATCTTATTGCCCTTATATAAATCCATGGTATGCCCACATCTTGAATACTACGTACAGATGTGGTCTCCTCATCTCAAAAAAGATCTACTGGCATTAGAAAAGGTTCAGAGAAGGGCAACTAAAATGATTAGGGGTTTGGAACGAGTCCCATATGAGGAGAGATTAAAGAGGCTAGGACTTTTCAGCTTGGACAAGAGGAGACTAAGGGGGGATATGATAGAGGTATATAAAATCATGAGTGGTGTGGAGAAAGTGAATAAGGAAAAGTTATTTACTTGTTCCAATAATATAAGAACTAGGGGCCACCAAATGAAATTAATGGGCAGCAGGTTTAAAACAAATAAAAGGAAGTTCTTCACACAGCGCACAGTCAACTTGTGGAACTCCTTGCCTGAGGAGGTTGTGAAGTCTAGGACTATAACAGGGTTTAAAAGAGAACTGGATAAATTCATGGAGGTTAAGTCCATTAATGGCTATTAGCCAGGATGGGTAAGGAATGGTGTCCCTAGCCTCTGTCTGTCAGAGGGTGGAGATGGATGGCAGGAGAGAGATCACTTGATCATTACCTGTTAGGTTCACTCCCTCTGGGGCACCTGACATTGGCCACTATCTGTAGACAGGATACTGGGCTGGATGGACCTTTGGTCTGACCCAGTATGGTCATTCTTATGTTCTTATGAACCTTAGAAAAAAATATCTCACATGCTTATGTTTTTCATTGCTTAGTTTATTAAATAAGATTTTCAGGCTAATAAAAGAAATTGCAGGAAGCTTTCTGTCACCTAGAGATAAGCCAAGTGTCAGCAAGATAACACCTCCTTAGCCATAACACCATGTTTATTACCCCAAAAAGTGTTAATAGAAACTCTAAAATGCAGCTTTTGTAATTGCTATTTCTAAGTCTATATTTTAAAAATATGTTAATTGAGATTTGTGTTTTGCACAAAATATTTAATAGAAGTTTTAATTGCCAACTACAAATGCTACAAAGACAGGTCATAACTCTAAGAAGACAAACAAATCCAGAAGAGCATCTTTCAAAGAACAGAACACCTCCCTTTGTTTAAGATACCAGTTTTTTGGTATAACTGCAAACCTTACCTCAAGAAAATAACCTTGTAAAAAACATTCCTGTTTTAGGAAAAAACACTCATTGTGTAAAGGAATGCAAGGATGATCCTTATTTAGGATACCTCAAATTGGAATGTAAGGATGTGTTATCAGAGCCAAAAACAGCACTAAAAATGGGCTTTGTCAACCCTTCTTTTGCAAGAGAAACCACAGTTCAAAACCCACAAAATTCTTATGGAATATAATTCTTTTATTAACACTCTAAAATCTTTATTCTGAAACTTTAATAATGGGGAAGTGTTTTGAAGAAAATGTTTGTTTATTTCATAAATGTTGAAATGGCAAGCGCTTTGAGGATGTATGTTCAGAAATATTCTGTCAAAATGCAAAGCTTATAATGTAATTTCCTAATATCCTTGCTATGTGAAGGGTAAAATCTTTTATGTACCAGCCTGAAATCTTGCTGACTAGATTAATAATGTGAGAAGCTATTTAGATAGAGAATATTTATTAATGGGGAATTAATTAGCAATATGTAAGCAACCCTTCACCCAACTCAGAAGAACAAGGATCACCTCTTCAAAACTTGTTGAGAAGAGAAAGCAATCATAGACTTTAAGGTCAGAAGGGACCATTATGATCATCTAGTCTGACTGCCTGCACAACGCAGGCCACAGAATCTCACACACTCACTCCTGTAACAACCCCTCTAACCTATGTCTGAGCCATTGAAGTCCTCAAATCATGGTTTATAGACTTCAAGGTGCAGAGACTCCTCCAGCAAGTGACCCGTGCCCCACGCTACAGAGGAAGGCAAAAAACACCCCAGGGCCTCTGCCAATCTGCCCTGGGGGAAAATTCCTTCCCGACCCCAAATATGGCGATCAGCTAAACCTTGAGCATGTGGGCAAGACTCACTAGCCAGACACCCAGGAAAGAATTCTTTCTAGTAACTCAGATCCCACCCCAACTAACATCCCATCACAAGCCATTGGGCATATTTACCGCTAATAGTCAAAGATCAATTAATTACCAAAATTAGGCTATCCCATCATACCATCCCCTCCATAAACTTATCAAGCTTAGTCTTGAAGCCAGATATGTCTTTTGCCTCCACTACTCCCCTTGGCTGAATGTTCCAGAACTTCACTCCTCTGATGGTTAGAACAGTTTATATCCATTTGTTCTTGTGTCCACATTGGTACTGAGCTTAAATAATTCCTGTCCCTCCCTGGTGTTTATCCCTCTGATGTATTTACAGAGAGCAATCATATCTCCCCTCAATCCTTTAATAACTATTCCAGTTTGAAGACTCTCTTTAAGAATTATTTATTTTTAAAAGGCTTTGAGAGCTAAAAAGCTTTTCTGTAAAGAACAGGAGTGTTTGGACTCTTTCAGAACAGAATTTCAATTCCTATTGAACCCTAATGAAACTGAAGAAATATCTCAGAAAATGGGCTGAGTGAAAAGAGTTAAAGCTCTAAACTTAAAGATGGTGGGAGAATCTCCCAGCAAAAAGAAAAAGGAAGAATAACTGTCAAGAAAGAATTACAACTCTAGCACATATAGGAATTAACAAATTACATATTTATAAGATGTATAAGAGGCTCCTAAGAACAATCCAGGAAGGTACTGAGCCAATGAAAAGATGAAAGCGGCAAATTTGGAATTTGCACTCTCTGTGCCTCCATCCACAACTTTACAGCACTCATCAATTAATCCTGTCCAGCTATACAAGCAAGCTGCCACAGCCAGCTAAGAAGAAATAGAAGAGAACAGCCTTGCGGCAGCAGTGAAAAGGCAACCTTCAACCCCCAATGGACATCACCAAGACTTGAACATGGAGTAGTGAGATGAAATAACTAAACCATTACCAAGGGATTCGATTTGAAAACTCTTGTAATGATTTTATTGGAATATTGACATGCAATTGTAACTGAACAGTTTCTCCTGTTAATTACCAAATGGGTTAGACCATGTATTCCTGGAGAGAAGTCAGGTGCTAAACATCAGTAAACAGAAAAACAGGGGGATTTAACTGGATTTAAGATTTTTGGCTTAAGACAGATCTGTAGATGGCTTTTTCTAAATAACTGGTTTAAATACTTTATTTAATTTGTTTGGATTTTAGTTGCTTACTTTTCCCATTTTAAAACTCTTTTAGCTTATCAATGGTAACCAAGCAGGACTCACCTGACCTTAAACAAAATTATTATCTATCAACAGTTTTCAGTTATCTAACGATATATTAAGATTGAACCTTCAATCATTTTGGGAAATAAGACCTTGGCCTCAACTTACCAAGAGAAAAGGGCCCCACCCAAGCCAGGTCTCCTCTCAAAAGCGTAATCTCTGTAGAAAAACTCTCCACAGAGAGACATCCAGAAGAGATGGTAATAGAAGTAACCTTTGTTTATCATTTGTGTTTTGATTAATGTTTTCTTTTACTTTCTTTAGCAATCAAATAGCCAAGGTCAATAATTATGATCATTTGCTCAGCACTAATTGTGGTGTCCTCTATGGTACGTAAAAAAAACCCTTTGCCTAAAATAGTGAGAGTCACATGCCTGTCTTGGCAGTAAGAGATAACTAGTAAGAGCTGGCCTGCCATTTCTTGTTTATCTAGACTAAATATTTTTAGTAACTTTTGGGATAAAATTACTTGGCACTCAACAATTCCCCCCCCCCCCCCCCGTTTGCTCTCTGTCTTAAACGTTCAATCTAGAATAAATTCTTAGGCCAGAGTTGCTTCCTGGGAACCAGGCACTGATGTTTGGGCTGAGATTCCTGAAAGAGGTGTTTGCTTGCATGCCGTTTGTGACCCCCTCTGATCTAGGAGTGGAGTGTACAGTGTGAATAAACAGAATTACACTAAGAAAATATGCAGACACTATGTCACTGTTTTCTTTTCCAACAGGAAACTTACCTGCAAGGCCCCAATATCTGCTACTGCTCAACAGAGGGGCAACAGTATTATACCCATTTCATAGATGAGTAAATGAAAGGACAGAATTGTTAGTGAAGTGACGTGCCCAAGGTACCAGTGTAAGTTGGTAGCACAGCTAAGAATAGAACTCTAACTAGTACTGAGCTCTAACCATCCAATCACACTTCCTCATTCAGTTTTCCCTTAGGACTTGCTGAAGTTTGGAACTCTGTGTATTCTCTCTCCAGTCCATTTAGCAGATCACTGAGTTCTCTAACCCAGTGGATTTTGGGCTGGGAGAAGACAGTAAAAATCATTTAGTTCGCTGATATTTTCCTCTCCCTGTGCATGCCTAAAATGCAGCTAAGGTTCCTCAAACCCTTTTGATTTCATTAGAACTTCTACTTATCTTTACAAGTCTTTAATCTCCCTGAGCAACCGAGTTTTCTGCTCTTCTCTTTAGCTGGCATTTTCAGGCTTTTCAATGTGTTTCTGTCATATCAGTAATTTAAAGCAGTTAAAGAGCCTTTAATTTCATATGTTTATACTGGCAAAGCCCTTTGAGATGCATTCACTGTTTGCAGCATTTCTCCAAAGTCAACTTTTCCTGTGCTGTTTGTTTTTCTTCATCCTCTGCAATCTGTGGAGCTCTGTGCTGCATTGCTGTGAGTTTAGGCTAATTGCATTGGCAACCACCTAAGGCCAGAACCTAAACAATAATTTCACACGCGAGAATTTACTCATGATTATTTTTGACCAACTTAGTGGAGAGAAAGAACCTCCTGCCACAAGACTCACATGAAATAATTGTGTAAGACTATTATAACAGGGTTACATATCTTAATAAAAATGTTCTCTTTATAGTAAGTCCAGACAGTTGAGGAAAGGAAACATCTCTTCATAATCTGTCTCAAATGAACCATAAGAATTGGGGGTTAGAGGAGAGATTTATTCCCTGGGTAAACTGGTATTAGTCAAGCAAAAAATTAATACTGTTATCTCCAAGTTGATCATGGCAGCCTAGGTATTCTGAATCTAAGTAAATGTGACAGATGTTTGTTCTACAGATATCGTTAACAAAATATTTGGAGAGACTAAATAACTAATGGTAATCAAGAGAGAAAGGGGGTGGGAATGGGTTATTGGACAAGAGCCTGCTGGAACCTGAGATAAAAGGAAGTCAACACAGATCAGACCGTTACCCTGTTACGACCACCTCTACCACCAATGCACTAATGAGACAATTTTGGAAGCTGCTCCATTTCACAGCCATGGTAAAACATTTCCTGGTTCATTTTTATACTTTCTTGTTGTTGTTATGTTGCACGAGATAATTATGCTACAGCCTAAAGAGAGTTTGAGCATTTTTGAAAAATCACAATATTTAGACACCAGGAGGGTATTCTGTTTGGGGAGCCCCAGGGCACAGGAAGAGGATGTTTGAGAGAGTCAGACATTTTGCATTTAGTTACAAATGTCCTGTGTGGGTATGTGTGCTTATATAAATGTATGTAAAGAGTGTGATAACATTGCAGTTTTGGCAAACATAGAAGCGCTATCATTAAAAGCAAAGAAAAATAAAGGAGAGAACTGAGTATGCAAAGAGCAAAATGACTTCAAAGGAGTTTAGGGAGGAATTAAAGCAAATTTTAAAAGGCTCAATTGACTTAAATAATTTTATAGAGAATTAAAAGAATTCCAGACTTCCTAGGTTAAAAGCAATTTATCATAAACTTAGAGAAATTTCAGCTCTTCAAGGACCCAGTCTTGTTCCCACTAAAGAATCAATGAAAAGTTTGTCATTTTCTGGAATCAGGATTTGGCACCGGTAATAGAAATTTCAACAAGAAAAGCTCTTTTTTTCTGCTAGGAAAAAAAAAGAGTGAGCACAGCCACTGAAGCAAAATTAATAAGTAATAGTAATTTATATAATACTAGTGCTTACATCACACTTGCCATCCATTGATTTCAAAGTGCTTTACAAAGGAAAGTAAATGACCAGTCTAAGCCATACCATGCTGAGCATGTATTAACCTTAAAGAATATCTTCTGATTCCCACTTTTCACAATTTTCAGAGGTCTTGATTGTTTACTTTTTTAAAAGCCAAATCCTGATCCCAGCCAAGTCACCGGCAAAACTCTTATTGAATCACAGAATCATAGGCCTGGAAGGGACCTTGAGAGGTCATCTAGTCCAGTCCCCTGCACTCAAGGCAGGATGAAGCATTATCTAGACCATCCCAGACAGGTGTTTGTCTAACCTGCTCTTAAAAATGATGGAGATTCAACAACCTCCCTAGGCAATTTATTCTAGTGCTTAACCACCCTGACAGGAAGTTTTTCCGAATGTCCAACCCAAACCTCCCTTGCTGCAATTTAAGACCATTGTTTCTTGTCCTGTCCTCAGAGGTTAAGAAGAACAATTCTTCTCCCTCCTCCTTGTAACAACCTTTTATGTACTTGAAAACAGTTATCATGTCCCCTCTCAGTCTTCTCTTTTCCAGACTAAACAAACCCAATTTTTTTCAATCTTCCCTCATAGATCATGTTTTCTAGACCTTTAATCATTTTTTGTTGCTCTTCTCTGGACTTTCTCCAATTCGTCCACATCTTTCCTGAAATGTGGCGCTCAGAACTGGACACAATACTCCAGTTGAGGCCTAATCAGTGCGGGGTAGAGCGGAAGAATTACTTCTCGTGTCTTGCTTACCACATTCCTGCTAATACATCCAAGAATGATGTTTGCTTTTTTTGCAACAGTGTTACACTGTTGACTAATATTTAGCTTATGGTCCACTATGACCCCCAGATTCCTTTCTGCAGTACTCTTTCCCAGGCAGTCATTTCCCATTTTGTATGTGTGCAACTGATTGTTCCTTCTTATATGGAGTACTTTGCATTTGTCCTTATTGAATTTCATCCTATTTACTTGAGACCATTTCTCCAGTTTGTCCAGATAATTTTGAAGTTTAATTCTATCCTCCAATGCACTTGCAACCCCCCTGAGCTTGGTACCATCCGCAAACTTTATAAGTGTAATCTCTATGCCATTATCTAAATCATTGATGATATTGAACAGAACTGGACCCAGAACTGATTCCACTCGTTATGCCCTTCCAGCATGAGAAGTGGGAACACAATTTGGTACAGAGTGAAGAAGCCAAATGACGTTCAACTTCTCTGTCTCTTATTTATCTTGTAAATAGCGCCAAGTGTGCAGACAGCATTTGAAAAGAAGAGCCAAACTAATGAGTCCCTTCCACTTACTCCAAAGTACTGATGGTAGCTCAATAGCTTAGGTCCAATACTTCTCTATGCTTTTCATTTTGCATTAAATAAAGGCTGACTCTTGGGATTTGGCACAAATTACACATTTTGTAAAGTTAAAAACAGCAACAAAATGCTTAAAGCTGAGCTGAAATGCTTCTTAATGAGATAAATAATACTGGGTGAGAGCCTAAGTCAGTAACTGAACTCACGTAGAGTGGAGCGGAAGGGGCAACAGGGCAATAATGGTACCTTCCTGCATCACAGCCACCCAGCACCGGGGCAAGGTAGGGCTGCACAAGAGTGGCCCTAATTTATGCAACTGGCATAAGGTCCCTCAGGGCTGTTCCTGAGCTCCCTCAGGGACCTCACCTCATTGGGGGATAGGGCATAGCTAGAGCTGGCTTCTTCCATCCCCCCTCCCTTCCCCATCCTTTTTAAAATCAAGATTGGATATTTTTCTAAAACATATGCTCTAGTTTACACAGGAATTGTTTCAGGGAAATTCTATGGCCTGTGTTGTGCACCCCCAATATGCTCCCTGCCTCCCTCTTTTCCTTTATAAAGGGAGCGTTTGGGGAGAGGGGGTGGGAGATGGGAGGCACAGAAGGAAGTGGAGTTTTCCCCGGCACAAGGAGAATTCTCAGATGGCCACCGCTGGTGCATTACGGCTCTTTTGTGCCACTTACTGAAGAATCTGGCTCTAATGTGTGTAGATTTTATGGGGCAGATTCTCGCCTATACTCTGGCTCCCTTTTACCAGTCTGCCAGTGCAAAGGGGCTGTAAAAATAGCAGGTCTGGTTGTATAGGGATTCCCTGAGCATGGGGGAAATCCCTGAATGAGGTAGGGTTACCACAGTAATGCTTATACCACTCCTCATTCATAGCTCCCTGGCTTTGTAAAGCACCCGGCTGCACCTTTATTCATCAGCTTTCAGAATGTCCTCAGTGCTCCTCTAAAGCATCCCCAGAACATTAGCCCCACAAAGGTGCTATAAATATATTTTATCCTCTGAGGCTGAATACAGACCTATAAATACAGTATGTACTTTTTAAAAAAAAAAGCATACAGCATCTGAGGTTGTGGAGTGGGAATCTGAGATACTAATTGTTGTCATACTGGCCTCCCTCTACTAACCCAACATCTTTCCTTCTTTCTGCAGAATGTGTCAGCTGCTATCATCAGGTGACTGGAGCTGTGATGTTACAGTGATCACTTTAAAAGTTTCCCCATTTTGTCCCACCAGTCTAAGAAATACACTCAATACCTAAAACAGGTGATACCACTGTGTCATGGATCCACAGGATTGGTGCTGTACTCCTAGCTTTTGAACAGTCTCTAGGAGGAACAGCTTCAGTGTAGCCAGACCTCCAAGGGGTCCCACTCTGCCTTCAGGGGCTTCAGCACTCCTGTTTCACACTCTGAGCTCTGATTATTAGGGACCAAGAATGTAGCTAGAACTGGAATAACATGAAATAAATGTCTTCCTAAGTGTTTAAGCATTACCTGACACTGGTATTAACTAAGCTACCCAGGTCATTCTTTGCAATGACAATATATCTTCCTGGAAGCACACAGACTGAGCATTGTATAAAGTCTGAGAATCAAAGGATAAACTTGTTCTACAACATTTCAATTTTCTTTTACAGACTGCCCTGGTGCTTGCCATATTGTTCGTGTCACTTACTACAGCAGTATCTGTGCCTTCAGATCAAATATTTCAGTATATTGAAGAACATCAAAATGAATACGTGCAGGTAAAGCCCATTGCTGCACAGTAAAAATGTTTGCAATGTAAATTTCTAGTCGTATGAATTCTCAAAGTAGGTTAGACTTTAAAAAATAAAAAATAAATCCTAAAATGGTTCAATTAGTGATCATAGCATACTTGGTATTTTACTTCTGGTCATAGTATTCTTTGCTCTTTTTGGATGAAAAGTGATATATGTATATATGCAATGAATTATTTTTGACAATATTTCATATGATTTTCATAAGAAAGTAGTAGCAATAATAATAAATACCTAGTTCTTGTATAGAGTTTTTCATCCATAGATCTCAAAGTGTTTTACAAAGGAGTAAGCAGACTTATATCAGTTTTCTGTTTCTTTCTGCTAATAAACTTTAGCTTTCTAAAAGTACTACATACAGGGCAAGTATTTTTTAACAATAAATATGATAAGGAATCAAAAAAGGCCAAAACCTCACCATTGGAGTTTTTAACCTAAGTAAGATATGCAACATTTTTCCTAGGACCCAGAGTATTCCGTGCATCTATAATAACAGAATTTATCACAAAATGCACCCTTTGCCAAACTGTTACTATAAGTTTGTGTTCTGGAATATAAACTTTATATATTTATATACTGTAGTGCTCATGATTGTGAAGATAACCTTGAAAACCTGAGTTTTGTGTAAAATGATTCAATGTTGTCTTCCTCACTCTGCAGCCAGCCTGAAACAATACCTCTGAACTGACCTGTTCATTTCCAGTAGTTGTTGACACGGAAGCCTAAAGATGACATTTTAAATGTTGAAATTAACTATTCTGCTACTCATTATTTTAGCAGAAACATCCAGCTAAAGTTCCTCATCTAGTCCCTACCCAGCTACCAAAACTTCTAGCTTCTCCCCTGACAACTTCTACTATGCAGCTATGCACTGTGAATACAAAAAAAGCATACCATATTGGTAACTGGAAATGTGGGGACAGTTTAAAATAAAGGAATTAAACATCAAAATAAATAACACAAGGGACACTGTACTGATTTAATAAATCATTTTCATATTTAATGCATTAGAAAGCTAAATTTCAATGAACCTGCCATAAATTTACAGGCTAAATGTTAAAATATGACATCATAGGATTCCATGGTTGTAGCTTCTTAGAGCCCACTTTTAAAACCCTAATTCACACTGAGTTAGTACCTTTCTACATAGGAATTTGCATTTATTTCAACAGGACAACTAGTGGAGCAAGTTACAACCCAACATGAATACATTGGCCACAATTGGGTCCTCCTTGATTTCCATATGAAATGGGTTCAGTTTACAAATAAAAAGATTCTTAATACATTTTTAATAAATGTCAGCCTTGCAAATTTGATCTGGAATCTACGACTTAAGCTGAGTTCTTTCCTTCAACATATCATCTTCAGTGATAAAGATTCTAATGACAAATTTAGGCCATCACTGACCCCTGTACAACCTCATTGTTTAGGAAATATGTCCCCAAGAATGCCTTTGCAAAACCATTTCCTTCAATGGATTTGTATAGGTGCAACTGTTTGGAATTTAACAAACAAACAATTCTACTGATGATGCACAAGAAGCAGTAGAATTCAGCTCTCTCTCAGCTGCATTGGCTCTGCAGTGCTATCATTAGTGAAAAACAATAGAAACTTATTATTGCCGCTAACAACAACAAAGAAGACCCTAAGGGTACGTCTACACTTACCAGAGGGTCCGGCGGCAGGCAATCGATGCTCTGGGATCGATCCCGGAAGTGCTCGCTGTCGATGTCGGTACTCCAGCTCGGCGAGAGGAGTACGCGGCATCGACGGGGGAGCCTTCCTGCCGCGTCTGGACCCGCGGTAAGTTCGGACTAAGGTACTTCGAATTCAGCTACGTTATTAACGTAGCTGAATTTGCGTACCTTAGTCCGAAGTGGGGGGGTAATGTGGACCAGGCCTGGGTACACATAAGGAGCAGATTTCTGGAGTAAGAAGGTGCCATTCATCCATAATCAATTTGCAGAGTAGAACCACGTTTCAATTTCTTAGCTTTCTTAATTTGTTTAACCCACTTAGGTCCCAATGCAGGAATGTTCTGCATCCATGAAGAGCTCATTGCAGGATTCAGGCCATAGTTGATATTTAAAAGCTATGTGAATGAGGATAGAACAATGAATGTGATTGTCAAGCTGTCTGGAGTGGCTCACAACCCTGAATGCCAGCCTCAGGGCAGACTGTCAGAAAGCAGGGCAGAAACCCCAAATTAGTTGTATGTTCTCCAATTAGATTTCAACCAATCCAGTCTCAAATGTGAATTTCTAAAGCATTATAACAGTCATATCATGGAGTCACAGACAGACTCCTGGCCATTCCAGTCTATCTTGACATCCAGGCAAGCTGGAGTATGTGATAGATGGCCGTTTTACATCTAAGATCAAAAAATATTCAGGTTACTCCTAGGCCCAAAGGGCCAGTCACTTACCCCAGGTAAATTGTACTCAGCTCTCAAACCAAAGACAATGCCTGTAGCCAGTCCTGTAATAAACTAACTAAAGATTTATTACGTAAGAAAAGAAATTAGAGTTAATTATGAGGTTAAAACAGGAAACATACACACACAAATGAGTTACAGTCTTAGATTTTAAAAGGTAATATAAGCTTCTATAATAAGCAGCTCTATATGTCCCTTAGGGCTGACCCAGGCCAAGCAGCATGGAGATCTCTTGCTTATGTTTAGGAATCTTTGCCCCTCAGAGTCTAACCAGCATAAAGATCCAGATCTCCTTGTCAAGGATTTTTATCCCCTTCACCACAGAATCCAAACTGATAGAACAAGTGTCGGAGCCTGGCTCCTCTTCATGTAGGTGAGGAGGGCAATCAACCAGGTCTTTGTCCTCTTGATGCCTTACAATGGCTCATCTGGTTTCAAAGGCCCTCTTGTCTGCTGGACCAGCACTTTACACTAATTAATGCTTCTTTTCCTGTTTGGTGAGTTACATAATTACAGAGGTTTACAATGAAAACACTCAATATAAATTTATACCAAGCATTGTCTAAGCACTAAACACATTCTTATAACACTAATATCTACTTTATCTATACTAACACACCAGTAAGCCAGACTGGTTTCCAGGTCTGCATTTGTCAGTGTTCAGTGAGGCCCTGGGTCTTGGCATTAGCTGGCACCTGGTCTGTCAGCGTCACGGTGATGTTTTCAGGTAACTTTCATTTCAGAGGGCTGTAACATCAGTTTAGAGCGATACACTGCATGTAGACCATCACCTTCAATTTTCTTATCCTGCAGAGACTCAAAGATTGGGTGGCCATAGAAAGTGATTCCAATGACCCTGCAAAGAGACATCTGGTTATAAACATGATGCTTTTGGCAGAAGAGAGGATAAGAAAGTTAGGTGGAACAGTTGAGATGGTAGATCTGGACATGCAAGAGGTAATACATTTTCACTGTGTTTTCAGGATACAAATCTAAGTATCTATAACCAGCTTTTGTCTAGTGATATAACCGTGTTATCTAAGTGCTGTACAAATTAAGAAGCACACCTATAAAATGGGTTACCACTGTAACTGTAAGTATGGTTTTTCTTTGGCTTTTGCATCAATAAGTAAAATGCAGACTACAAAAAAGGCCTCATTTTATATACACAGGAACCAATAGTGTAATCCTGGTGGATTAAGTGACCAGAATTTAAAGGGCCATCATCAACTTTAAAATCACGTTTATGAGGCAGGGGAGCCAGTGAGCTATGAAGATCCTTTCCTCCCCTTTTTCAGATGCCAGGAGACAACAGGAAACATAATTTCTGTTCCTGACCCCCGAGGCTTAGAAGAAGTAGAACTGGGTGTCGGTGGAAGCATCTGCCTCCTAGCACTAGAGCTTCCAGAACTTTTCCTTATCCTCTTAAATCCTAGGCACTGCACACACCAGTGATGTTTTTAATGTTATGTGACTGGAACTACGACCAACCTCCTGCAACAAAATGATTTGCACGTCCCTAAGACCATTTCTTATTTTGTGCTACAGCTAGCATTGTTATTCTTTTGCTGCATATATAACCATTCAATGCTCCAGAAAATTATATATTCTTGCATAATAGCCTTAGGATGTAGATTCTACTCTGCTTCTATATAGCAGTCATTCTAAAATTATTTTTACAAGGACAGAACTAAACAGAAGACATTCAAAAATCAAGACAAGTAGGATCAAAATCATCCCTGGTGCAAACTCCAGTGACTTCATCATCTATAAATGCACGTTTTGGAAGCCTCTATCAATGTATATAATGAAACTCTTTGATTTATTTTAGCTACCCAATGGAAACAAAATCTCTTTGCCACCAGTTATTCTGGCAAACATTGTAAAAGATCCAAAAAAGCCTACCGTTTGTTTTTATGGGCATATGGATGTGCAGCCGGCAAAAATTGAGGATGGATGGTCAACAGAGCCTTACATATTGACAGAGAAAAATGGTAAGTGCTTGAGCTGCTTGAAAGCTTTCAGCAACTGGCTTATCATGTATACAGTCAGACCCTTTATACTAAAGCAGCTTCCCTACCATGAAAGAAAAAGAGGAAGATCATTCAAATAACATAGAAACAAATAATTCTGTTCAGGTAAAATAGAAAACCTTCTGGGAAATGCCTTCCTTGTCTGTGAATAGATTTTCCACTAAAATCCTTTGAACTTTCCCCCCCTTATATGCAAAAATAAGCACTTGTCTTAAAAATACAGATGCACGGAAGATCTTGCGCCAAATTCAGATTGTATCTTGCACATATGCCTACACCAGAAATTAGAGCTGAAATTCTGAATCCACTGAGGCCATAGGAGTTTTGCTATTGACTTCAGTACAGCCAGGATTTCATCTGAGGTGTCCAAATAGGGTACAACTTTTGTGCCTCACTACCAGTTCCTGTCAAACACACAGAATCCATGCTCTGCTGTTCCTCCATGGCTAGAAAAGCAGGAGAATTCTGGGGCAGGAGGCATGGTTGAGACATTTAGCTCCCTTGATCAGCTATTATATTCCCCCATTCAGACTGCTTATGTTCCTGCTGAGTACTCTGTATGGATGGCTGTGCTGAATTTGTGGGCATTCCTGGTCTGATCAGAATAAGGGTGCAAAACCATATTGCTTTTGTACTATTATTTTCTGCCAGTTTTGGAAGGCAATGCTGAAGACAACCTCACTTTAGCCCCTTCCATTCAGCTTGTTATAAAATTTCTCCTACTCAACTATCAGCTACCAAAGAACTTTAATTAGAAATGAGCATACAAAAGGAAGGGTGTCCAATATAAACATTTACTACAAGTAAATATGGACTTTGCAGTTACTACAGTACAAATCCAATAATGGAATCTGGAATAGCAAAGGTTGAGTACTCCAGCTACATTTTGAACATCAGGGGGTTAGCTAGTCCTAGCTTCAGGAGACCTTGTTATTCAAATATGATTACTTTTTCTACAGACCACGTAAAGCTCTGTGTTACATATACAACCTGTCAAAACACTATTTTAGTTGTATGCAAGATCATAAATAGAAGGAGGAAATACTATGGAGTTTGTAAAGATTTTATATTTATTAATAGTTTAATGAGTAATTCTATTTTAAAAATTAATTCAGTAAAATATTGCATCCTGGGGCTATATATTTATTGGGTCCCAGTGATTTCCACATCAGATATGGTCAGCTTATAAGTAAAAAGATAATTTTCTAAAGGCCATCCTGGCAAATTCATCCTGAGTTCTGAAAGTCTAGCTGGTTTCTTTCTTACTTGTTCAGTGCACAATGATGAGTAATAAAATTTCTACAGATCAACTATGCCTCTATTACACCTGTGCAACATCAATGTCTGCACTTGCCTAATGAACTAACTTTATTAGTTATCCCAATCTCATTCTATTTGTTTTCAAGGCAATCTCTACGGACGAGGTGCATCTGATGACAAAGGACAAGTTCTGGCTGTGCTGAATGCAATTGAAGCACTTCAAAAACATGCATGTGACTTTTTCTTCCTTTATCAATAAGTTTGCTATTTGCAACTATGTAACCAATTGCTTATAAAACTTTTTGAAACATTTCCTTATAGGAACTTCCTGTTAATGTAAAGATTCTGCTTGAAGGTATGGAAGAAGTAGGGTCCATTGGGCTAAATACACTAGTTGAACAGAGAAATAGTACATTTTTTTCTGACGTTGATTACATTGTGGTCACTGACTCCGCATGGCTCAGCAACAAACCTGGTATTACATATGGGACCAGAGGAAACTGCTACTTCTTTGTTGAGGTATAGTGCAAAAAGAAGCATGATCTTATACTCTCATTAACTGAATATTACCTGAGTATTTATCAAGTGGCTTTATATTTATCCAGGTCCAAACACTAATAGCCCTACTGAATATATAAACTCACAGGGTTAAAGGTAGATATAGGATTACACAGTGATTCCATCTCTGTTATATATGGTAGTAATTTTAAGGCTGAACTAAAGGAATCACCACTTTCTAGTACTGGTATATAGAAATAACAATAGTAAGTTCACATATAAGCACATTATGGGTCAAATTATCCTTTCAGTTGTACCAGTGCAACCTCACTGAAATTAACTAAGAGGAGAATTTGTCCCTCTATATATTCAAAGGGCTTTACAAAATATTAGCTAATGAATTAAGGATTTTCTGTACATACCAGTCTCCAAGGAATTTATCTGGGATCATGAAATACATGGGATTTAAGGTTGCAAGCAGAGATTTATCATTGGTAGGGATAGTGGTCTATCTTGATAAATTATAACAGAAAGTCATAGTCTGAGAGCAGGGAGAGAGAAAAAGGCAGAGGTCATGAATTTATAATGACAAATGACAAAAAACAGGCCACACTATTTTAATCAAAATATCTTTTTTTTCTATAAAAACGACTTCATTCTCTATAATCTATTAGCTTAAAATGATTTAAAACTCTTATTCTGGTGCCTCTTGGTTCCACAGCAGTGCAGGAAGTTGGAAGTCTAGCTCCTGCTTTATCTTCTTCAGCACTGCTTCCCTGCCTCCGCCTCTGCCAAAGGCAGCTAGGGCACCACTGTTGTGCAGGCATCTCTCATCATGTCCACTTCCTAGCTATGTAAACGCATAACGTTTTACTAAAAAAAACAGAGATATTGTGCCATTTCATAGTAAGCCTGCCCCCAATGACAGGACAATAAACATGGAACTGGGCACATCATTTTTGTGCTGAAAGTTTCATCCTGATAGTCCAGAAAATATTTATTCTACAGTACATGTGGAATAGTAGAAAAAATGAAAATGTCAGTTCTCATTTTTAATACCCAGCATGTTTTTAAAAAATATGGCTCTCAAGATTGTCAGACTAGTCTGTCAGCATCAGAAGAAGTAAATGGATAATAGATTCTTTAATATTAAGTCAAATAAATATTATTTAAAGAAAGGTGCATTAGCACATTTGTTTTTTTTCCACAGTGATGGAAAAGAGAACAAAATTGCAAGCAAAACAAAAAACAATAACATATAAATTGTGGTAATATACCTAGAAATCCTGAAAAGAAAATGACCATAGACTTTTCCTGTTGAGTTAAACTGAAAGCTTACACAGCCTTCTCCATGGCTTGTAAAGGAAGTATCAAGTGTGTTCATCTATGCTATTTTGCAGGTAGAATGTGCTAAACGAGACTTACACTCAGGGGGCTTTGGAGGAATATTACATGAAGCAATGAATGACTTAATATTTCTGTTAAGTAAGTATTGCTTTAATTATCTATGAATAAATGTCATGTTCCAGGTCTGTCATGTTCCATTTCAAAGCATATCAGGTATTGTTCTGACGCCCACCAACTAAAAGCACAGGAATATAAAAACATGAATTACATGTACTGGGCCTGGTACTGACATTGTTACTCAGACAAAACTCCTATTAATTCTCATCAGACTTTTTCTTAGTAAGAACTAAGTAAAGAAGACTTCTGGTTTCGATCCATAGTATGCATAATTGCAAGTGCTGCAGCATTTGATCCAACGGTGTAATTTACTTTAATTATATAGGGCCAAGTTAATTTAAATGGGCAATTCACAAAAAAAGGAACAACTCTGTGGGAGTAGGGATGGCAGAATTAGGCCCATATTTATTTTAAAGCAACACCAGCAACCTGTGTTTACTTTAATGTGTTTGTAACATTGCAACCCCAATTCTGTTTGTTTCATGTACCATGTATTGGATAATAACATGAAAGGATTCTGTATTGTTAAACTATACTGGATCTTTATTAAAGCAACTATTTAAACAGGTGCTGCAACTGCAGCTAGCATTCAAACTGTGTGCAGACAAACAGACTTCCTGGTGTCTCCTCCAAACTCTTTCCTCCTGCAACTTGTGCTCCTCCCTCCAAGTCCCATGGGGGTTGCTACAAGGTTTCTTACAGTATGTAGTGTTTTAACTACTTTAATGCAGTTTTAAGGTTGAGATTTTAATCAAATGAAGAGTATCTTTGTCAGTTAATAATTCACTTCAGAAAGAAATTGCGCCATCCAAAAGCAACAGGCCTAGCTCGCAAGCTAAGTGTGAAAGCAACTCTCCTTTTAGTAGTAGGTAAACCTAGGTTTAGTCCAAAGGTCATAGCTTTTAAATAAAAGCATTAATCTCCAAAGAGAGGAGACAAAAAAGGGCAGAGGCTTTAGGTGAATTTGGTAGAAAATGAATAAAGCAAAGAGATGCTCAGAATAGGAGATAATGTGCAGTACAAGGACATTGAGCAATTAAAGTAATAAGACTACTGCACCAGAGATTGTGGGGAGGCCACCCATCTAAGAACTAACCAGGCCACAATCTGTTAGCTTTAAATGTGGAAGAAGATTAGGTTTATTTGCATTGGTATGGACTTTCTCTTTATGTATCCAGCCACTGCTTTTTCAGTTGCAACCTACTTTGACTCCCATTATTTATTCACCACAGGGTACATTATTTAGGTTTTTTTCTACCAATATTTTATAAAGTTCTGTGCAAGTAAGTTGAAAAGTTAAGGAGGGATTTTGATGTAAGAAAATGGTGATGAGCAATGCTCATTCTGAGTAAAAGCTCCTAATTTTATGTATCTAATCTCTGTGGCTGATAGCTGTAGAATGTTTTTAATGTGTCTATCACAACAATATATAAGGTAACAGTATGTGCACCAGGTGTGCAAATTTACATATCTACATGTTTTTCTCCTACATACATAGATTGTCCCCACTGTTAATTTATTTGTGCCAAAACAGAAACACCCACCTGTAGTTATTACATTTAATTATAATACTGATTAACAATACAATGTAAGTTTTCAAAGTTTGATGTACAGCACCTTGCATCTTTTTTTCCTCCATTGGGTTTCTAAGAGCCTCATGGAGATTAACTGCCCTGATCCTTCTCCTCTTCTACTCCCTCTCCTGCATAAGTCTCTCTTCAGGAGGACTTTTCCTCCAGAAGTCTGATTTATCTGGACCTTGTCAGCTCTCTATAGCTGCGTCTACACTACAAGCTAGGGGTGTTATTCCCCTGCTTGTGTGCATATATACTCCTGCTAGCTCTAAGCTCTAAACTAGCGTGAGTATAAATAGCAGTGTACCTGGGGTTGCACAGGTGGTGGCCAGGGTAGTGGCAGCAGCAGCACAGGCACAGGTAGCCAGAGAGGAGGCATAGCTGAGCTGTGCTGAGTACTTACTTAGTAGTTTCAGGTGAGTAAATATTTAGCATGACGACTCAGCTGTGCCTCCATGACTCCACTGTTATTTATACTTGTGCCTGCTCGCTGAGAGGTAATGTGAGTATGTGTACAACAGCAGGGAATTCATACCTCTGGCTCACAGTGTATGTGTAGTCCATGTATCACAAGAGGGGTCACAAATTACTTTCTGTCTCAGGAAAAAGTGTGGTGCCTTTCCAATCCCTGCTGCTCCCAAAGACAGCAATTCATTTTAGGACTCAAATTTATATCTCCCAGATGACAGTGCCTTGAGTTGCCACTAAATCACAGCTGTAAATAAATGGTTAATTGTTACATATACTTAAATTAGGCTCAGAAAACTACAGAGCTTGAAAACTGCAATTATAAGTGACATTAAAATATAACAGTAAGGTCAATATTAAACATGAAAACCATCTCTGCAGAGTTTTTAGACATTTTTTGTTGCAGATTTCTGTTGTCCCTGCAATGCTTATTAGACATGAATCATCTTTTTCTAGACCAATTAAAATTCATTTGGATTTTTCTCTAGACACCCTGGTAGATTCCTCTGGTCATATCCTGATCCCTGGAATTTATGAAGCAGTAGCTCCTCTCACTGAAAACGAAAAGAAACTCTATGAAGGAATTGAATATGACCTGGACCAGATTATGGCCAAATATGGAATAGAAGAGTTTCGTAACAAAACTAAGGTATATGTTACATTTATTTTTATATTGGTAATAGAATTTTCCTTCACTGGTTTCAGGCTTCTCAGTTGGAATAATAAATCATAGTCATTACTGAAGTCAATGGGGTTCTTTCCATTGACTTCAATGGGCTTTGAATCAGGCCCTAAAATCAGGGGTTCCTTCAAATCTCTCCTTAATCCACCAGTGCTGGGACCCTATGTGTGTTACTTGTCTTAGATTTTAGCAAGCTCTTCAGGGCAGGGACAACTACTTCTATATGTATCACTAACACAATGGGACCCAATCAAGATTAGGCCCTTTGGACAACACGGCAATATAAATATTAAATGACGGTGGTCAAGAACAACTTTTGCTTTGTGATAGGATCACAGATTGCCAGAATTCTACCGACAAAATTCTGCTCTCGGTTGAACAGGTACTTCAGTGGGGGTTTCACCCATATAACTGAGTGCAGAATTTGGCCCAACCGAGAAGTCTTTTATTTGCTAATACACCTATCTCTTGGAAAAACCTGCGTAATCCTTATAGTACCCACTGCAAAAATGACACCTTTGTCAGCAAAGAGATAAATGGTCATGCTCTGTGATTAACATGGAATAAGGATTTGGGTATCCCAATATATAAAACTATGGACTATATATAAAATAATATATAAAATATATAAAATAATATATAAAACTATTGAAGACTGTGACTCATCTAACAAAAAACTCACCTAAAGACGCGACCCCCTTAAAAATACATTTATTAACTAAAATATTGGTCACTGTTCTATTTTTAATGCCACTTACGTTTTTCTTCCAGTTGGCATATGTAACATTCATTAACACTCATGGAAGTTGTGGGCCCATATCACAAGGAAATACACTGATTGGGCATTCTGAAGATGCAAAATTAGTATAAAATCTGTATTTCATGTGGTGTGGTTTGTTCTGAATGCTCATGACTGATCTGATATCATATAAAGCACCTTAAATCTTGAAGCTAAGATACCTACAAACCTAATATTTATATTTGAGATACTGTACTTTCACTGATTTGCTTTGTGGGCTTGAGAAAGATGAATTCTATGCACTTCTATAGTGGCAATACTATAAATGCTTGAAAGCTGGATATTTTATATGTAACAGATATTATGGTGTAATAAATGGATCTCTTTCATTTTGTTACAATGAGTTACCTTTAAGAAAAAACAAGCCGTGGAAGATTTGGCACAGTCAATCTCTAGGCAGATTTATATATAGCACACTTACATACACAAAGAGTGGTTTCATGTGGAAATAATAATACTGAGACTGCTTGTCTAAGAATCATGTATGCAATCTGTTATTGTGAAGTAACATGAAGTGCTAGCTAATTACAGATTATTGTTTAATGCCTCCTCTGCTTTAATATATTTACATTTTTTACATCTTCAGGAAGAATTATTAATTCAAAGATCACGCTATCCATCTCTTTCCATCCATGGAATAGAAGGAGCTTTTTCTGCACCTGGAACTAGGACTGTAATCCCTGCAAAAGTAACTGGAAAGTTTTCAATACGTCTGGTGCCGAACATGGAGCCTTCTGTAGTAGAGAAACAGGTAGGATGGTGGAGCCCTCCTTTTTTAATTCCTCCTATACCTGTTTATTGCATTCACCCACTTCAAAATGAATGAGTTCTGCACCTGTGACACTTAGCAGCAAGTTGTTTCTTGGCTACATTTTTGATACTCTGTTCCCTCCTGAGCTGCACTTTGTACTGCTTGGTTGTAGCTGAGGATCTGAGTTTCTGCTATATAAGAAGAAACTAATATAGGGGCATGTATGTCTCCAAGAAGAAATATGATAAACAAAGAACATGTTAAAAATGTCATACTACAGTTTCACTATCTATAATGTACCTATCCCAACAACAGAATCTGGATGTAAATAATATGCAGTCACTCCATATCCCTTTGGCTGCAAATCCAAAAGCATCTATCATTTTCCAAGATCAAATACAAATGACAACCATCAGATTCTGACAAAACTATGGTTTGGTCCCAGGGTTAATCAATCTCCACTTACTTCTGAATAGGTCCTTTGATAGCACCAACAGATGAAGATCTCTGCTTCAGCCAGTATAGGAGTAGAGGGTTGACAGCAACAAAAAACCAGCATGGCTGGAACTCTCTTCCCACACTGTCAAAATTTCACTTTCATTATGTGTCCAAGCAGTGAGATTCTTGAGCTGGATTCTTATTTCATATCTTGAATGTGCAGTGTCGTTGTAGCTGTGTCGGTCCCAGAGTATTAGAGAGACAAGGTGGGTGAGGTAATATCTTTTATTGGACCAAATTCTGTTGTTGGTCCAGTAGAAGATATTACCTCACCCACCTTGTTTCTGTAACATTTTGAGCATTGCAGTTGTGCCTCTGACAAGTCAGAGTTTTAAACAAATGCACACACAGATGATTTTTTTCTCTATGTACTGAATTAAATAAATATTTTCATGTCACTACAATTATTTTCGTTAGGTGACTGACTATTTGAACAAGAAATTTACTGAACTGAACAGTCCTAACAGCATTAAAGTGACCAGTAACATAGGATCAAAGCCCTGGCTATCTGACATAAATGAACCTCAGTATTTGGCTGCAAGGAAAGCAATTAAAAGAGGTTTGGTTGTTTTATAATATGTGGATTATTTGGTACACAACTATGTCACCTTTTGAAAGTATTATCCATAGAAATGAAACCAGGGTATTTCCCTTATTCTGTCTGCACGTATTCTTATTGTCCACATAATGCTTTCTAATTTTGACATATTTGTATAGAATTGCACTTTCATATATAGCAGCTTTTATTGTTTGTTGATATGTTTGTTGATATTGACTTGCAAGCAATATTATTGTACATTGTTAACATTTTACTACACTGATGATCACATATATTACACACAGATGTGTCATTCATTGCTCTTACCATTTTTCAGCTCCTGCTGTAACTTGTCTTCAGATGAATACTATTTGTGGCTGGGGACAGATCCTTGTGCCCATGTAGAATAACATCGGCTTCAGCAGTACAAGTGGGTGTAAGGGTCCATTCAGGGGCGGCTCCAGGCACCAGCGCAGCAAGCGCGTGCCTGGGGCAGCAAGCTGTGGGGGGCAGCCTGCCGGTCGCTGGGAGGGCGGCAGTCAGGTGGCCTTCAGCAACGTGACTGCAGGAGGTCCGCTGGTCCTGCGGTTTTGGCGGCAGGTACGCCAAAGCCGCGGGACCGGCAGATCCCCCGCAGAAACGCCGCAGAATCCGACCACCTGCAGGCGTGCCACCGAAGGCCATCTGACTGCCGTGCTTGGGGCGGCAAAGAACACAGAGCCGCCCCTGGCTCCATTGTAAAGTCATTTGTAGGAACAGGAAATTAAGTTAGATAATGAATACAGCCCACAGGCAGAACACACAAGTATGGGCGTGGGTGAATTCTAATACTTTGAATCCAAGCTTAACAACACCAGATCATAACTTTTTTAGCAGAAAAAGGAAATATCTTTAAGAAGTCCCCATAAGTCTCCCCATCCAGCCCCTCCAACAAAAAATGTAGAAAACAAGTTTATATCCAAATAATGCCTTTAGTTATTCAAATATAAAAGCGGGAAGGATAGTTCATTAAGCTTGTAGAAATTCAGATTAATTTTTTATAAAGCTTATGTTATCTTCACTCCCTAGTGTTTGGAAAAGAGGCTGACATGATCCGTGCAGGTGGAACAATTCCAATTGCCACACATTTTCAGGAGGTGACTAGAAAGAGTATAATGTTACTGGGAATAGGAGGACCTGATGATGCTCCACATGGGCAAAATGAAAAGATCAGCAGGTATTTTTTACTCATTTTCTTAAAAAGTTTTAAAGTGCTAATATAATTTCAGAAGAAAAAATATACAATACTGTGACAAATAAAAAAACCCCACCTTGAATTTACATCACTTTTTCAAATGGACATGTAGAACTCCCAGATGTAATTTTGAAAAAGTGGTGTAAATGCAGGCTCCTCACCTCAAATGCTGCTATTTTCCCTTCTCAAAAAACTGTAGTCAAATAATGCACTACAACATATTTGGAATTTTAGGAATTAGTCATTTGAAAACATCCAAGTTGAAGAGCTCCTTTAAAGTAATCAAGTTGGTTAAAATGTGTGTGCCTTCACCAGGATGCTTTCTTTCCTACTTTTCTATGTCCTTGATTCACTTCAACCAGGGCCGGCTCTGGCTTTTTTGCCGCCCCAGGCAAAAAAGCCTCCCGC